GAGGAGGACGAGGATAGGGACGAGGAGGACTACGAAGAAACGGAGGAAGTGGAGGAAACGTAAGGAGGAGGAGATGAAGGGCAAGGGAAAGATGAAGAAAAAGATGAAGCAAATGATGCTGATGCTGCTGATGATGATGATGATGATGATGATGCTGATGCTGATGCTGATGCTGATGCTGATGCTGATGCTGATGCTGATGCTGATGCTGATGATGCTGCTGCTGATGCTGATGATGTTGATGATGATGCTGGTGATGATGATGATGATGATGATGCTGATGATGATGATGATGATGATGATGACGATGATGATGATGATGATGATGATGATGATGATGCTGATGCTGATGCTGCTGATGATGATGATGATGCTGATGCTGATGCTGATGCTGATGCTGCTGATGATGATGAGGAGGAGGAGAAGGAGCAGAAGGATAAGGGGAGGAGCACGAGGGGGAGGAAGAGAAGAACGAGGACGAGGAGAAGGACGAGGACATGGAGGAGAGGAGAAGAGGAGGAGGAGGAGCAGGAGAAGGGAGCAAGGGAAGGAGGAGGAAGTCGAGGAAGTCGAGGAGGAGCTAGCGTCATCTATCGGGCCAACCTCCAGGTAATCGAAGCACGATTTAAGGTGGCGATGAGGATGCACCATATATCCCCAGACCGTCCCTGGGCGCCAAGACAATGCAATGAAACCAAATTGCCGATCTGAAATTGACGGTGTCGCTCGAATTCCCTTACGAACTTGCAGTGCACGGTCGCTCGCCTTGCCATATCGCGCACAAGATGCCATAACACGCTTGCAGATGACCGCGCCTTGTTTGCCACCTCATGCATCTCGCACAAGCCGACCCCAGTCATCTTCGCACTGCTCTCCGAGCACAGTCCAACTGTGGCGAGGATGGGCCCGACGGCCGACGAAAACGATTGACTGTATCAATGCGGGCCGCTCAGGAGTCCACTACGCGGCTCTCCTGCCGCCCAGCGAATCGGCTTCGCAGCCGGCCCATCGAGGCGAGGTAATCGGCCAGCGCGTCGGCAAACGTGCAGGACGAGCAGAGACCGTGCACAGCCTGCAGAGCGACGACCGCGTGTAGAACCTCCTGCAGGCTGGCCCGCCCACCGGCGTCGATCCCCGAGAGGTCGAACTTCTCCATGATCAGTTGCACCACCTGCTCCGGCGCTGAAGCCTCGACGATGGCGCCCGAGTCCGTGCGGCCATCGATGAAGGCCTCCGGCCGGTCATGACCTTGACCCCGCTCGTGGTCAGGATCTTGCGCAGGATCTTTGCCTGGGCACTCGGACTCCGCGGTGTCTGCATCGGTGCCAAGGTCGCGCTCAGGCTTCAGCAGGGCCTTCGACCCCTCCACGCCCGCCGAGCCCTCGGTGGTCTCGGTATCTTTGCCCGAGTCGTCCCCTCCACCCCCCTCTACGGAAGTCCTCGCCCCCTCTTTGGGAGCCCCTGGGGCACCTGCTTGAACTGCAAGCGGGCCAAGTAGAATACCCGGCCCCGGCATGAAAACCGTCTGCATCCGCGCCGCGATGCTTTGTGGGTCGGGGCGCTCCCCCTTCCTGCCCCCCGGACACGGGCAGGAAGAAGTTCGGCACCAGTCGATGAGGCTCAGCAGCTCCTCCTCACCCTCTGGCAGCTCCGCGCGGCGCGTAAGTATCACCTTTACACGGCCTCCGGGGTTTGAGCGGGCCACGCCGTTGTCAACCTCCTCGCTCTTCGGCGGCGGCGGCGGCTCCACCGCGTCAACAACGGGCTCGAAGTCCCAGCACGCCTCGAAGTGGTCGCGCTCGTGGAGGCAGAACATCTCTACCCCTGCCAGTGCCGGCCCTGGGACTTCGTGTGCGCCATCCGCCACAGTCCCTCCTTACCTTGGACCGGTCCGGCCAGCCCTTGCAGGAGCGCTGGGCCTTGGCCTGGTCCCGCTTGAACTTGCGCGGGCGATGCATCTGCGGCTGGCCGTCCCCTTGGCTCGTAAGCGGTGAGCTTCACGTTCACCTCGGACGCCGGGGCGGGCGGCGGCGACACCTCCCGGCTCCGCCGCGGCGGCGTGGCCGGCGCCCGGGGTGCCAGCGAGATACCGGACGTGGCCTCGCCACCAGACGGGCACATTCGCTCCCCATCGGCCTCCCAGTCGATCCGGGACTTCCGCGCCGAGCCTTCGGTGTCCGAACTGCTGTCTTTGCGCGAGACCTTGTCCGCTTTGCTCCTCTCCTCCTGCGCGGTCCGCGCCTGCTGGTTCTTCGACTCCTCAGGCGCCGCCTTCCGCGGGGCCTCCGGACGTCGTGCCACGGGCTGGCGCCTCCTTGTCCTGCCCTCCGGGCCGCACGACCTTCACTGGGGAGCGTGAGCTGCTCTTCCCGCGTGCGTCTGCCCAGGCCGGCTTCACCAGTGGCTCCAGCAGCGCCTCGAACTGCTTGTGATGGGGGTCGTTCACTAGCGGCCTGACCAGCCGCTCGACCTCCTCGCGGACGCGTGGCATCAAGCCCTTCACCAGGCCTTTCTGGAAGGGCATCAAGCCCTTCACCAGGCCTTTCTGGAAGCCGGTTCAGGGCAGACACGGATCTGTGTCGACCTTGAACCGGTTTCGGCTCTCGGCGGCCAACCCGGGGCCCTCCACCAACGCTGAGGCGTTCCGTCGGCGGGGCGTGCCATCGGCCCGTGCGAGCGCGCCACTTTCAAGAAGCCCTCGCACCATTCCCTGAGCCACCCTTGCGAGGAAAATGGCTAGGAGGAGGAGGAGGAGGAGGAGGAGGAGGAGGTGGAGGAGCTTCTGGGGCGGAAGGGAGGGACCCAGACCAACGACGTGGTGATTTTTCACAACTCCCACCCCCAGAGGTCTGGGCCTCTTCCCCGGGACCGGGTTTTTTTCCACCCTCATGAGCAGTCCTTTCTTGGCGGCCCCGGGGGGCGGCGAGGGCCCCCCCGGAGGCCGAAGTCGGCGGCACACCTCCCGTCGTGATCTCGTCAGACGCCGAGTGGGGAGGGAGGACTGGTGCTCCCCTCCCGGCAGGTCTCCGGGCCCCGGTGCGTGTCGCCGCGCGAGCACGGCGGGGTGCCGCGCGGCATGGCCCCCAAGATCACAGGCTCGGGGGGTGGGGGGGGGCGGGGGCGGGGCGCCAGAGTGCAGGCGCGCGCGCGCCCCGATGCTGGCAGGGCGAGCCCTGCCTCGGCGCCCGTCGCCCCTTCTCCCCCACCCTTCTTGGCACTGCTCGCCCTCACGCTCCTCCCGCCGAGAAGTGGGAGGGGGGCCAGAGGAGGAGGAGGAGGAGGAGGAGGAGGAGGAGGAGGAGGAGGAGGACCAGTGCAAACACAAGAGTCACCAACGATGTTGGAACAAACCCTCCCCCAAAGCTCCCTCTTCACCGACCCCTGCAGCGGTTCATTTCCACAGAGGGATCTGCCTCGTTGGAAGACAACCGTGTGAAGACCCTGAAGCATGCCAGAACATGGTTCTCGAGATTCCACCACCACGGATACAGTTGACTGTTGCGTCTTGGCGATCCCGAATCGTGCCGGAACGCTATTCCTGGGACTTCAACACCGCGAATCATCGTAATTGTTGCGCCTTTCTAAGAGTGTATGCTTCCAGGACGCCATGTTTGGTACGTCCATGGGAATCCGTGAAGGTCTCCCAAATTGTTCAAACGATTGTGTGCGGCGCTACGGCGAGAGCCGCTGTTTGAAAACCACCCGCCCTCAATCCGTGAAGCTCTTGCAGTTTGTTCAAACGAATGTGCGCGGCGCTAGGGCGAGAGCCACATGTTGAAAACCACCCACCCTCAATTCGTGAACCCTTAGCAATTTGCGCAAACGAGTGTGCGCGGCGCTGAGGCGAGAGCCACAGTTTGATTACCACCCACCCTCAACCCCTGAACTCTTGCAATTGTTTACAAAGAGTGTGCGCGGCGCTGAGGCGAGAGCCACATTTTGAAGACGGCCCGCCCTCCATGTGTGAAATTGCTGCCAATGTGTAAGATTCAGGGTCATCAGTGGTGAGGAAGTCTCTGGCGAAACGCCCGGCCGACCCTCAAAACTGGCCTCGGGGCGCTACAGGGAGAAGTTATTTACAAGGAAATGGAATGGAGGAGGAGGAGGAGGAGGAGCCAGAGGAGGTGGGAGCATGAGGGAACCGGAGGAGCAGCTGGAGGAACCGGGGGGATGCCTCCTTCTATTCCTCCTCCTCCTTCTCCTCCTCGCTCTCGCCCTCCTTCGCCATCCTTGCCAAGGAGGATGCCAAGAAGAAGGACCCACGGCGCACCATGATTTGTATTTTTATGTATTGAGGCTCACGGAGTTCGGGGAGGAAGGGATGCTATTTGTTGGGGAGGAAATCGCCCCTCCCGCAGAGTGTCTCTTTCCCGATGTCGTCGTTGCGGACATCATGTGAAAGCATGTTTTTACCATGCCATCTTCCGGGGCTCTGGTCACGGACCAAGGGGACGAGCTCAAAGTCATGCAGTAATTACCCTGCTCCATAGTCGGATCTGCCCCTCGTCAAGAATAGTCAAACTTAGCATGGTGACGATGTTTCGCATATGTTTGGGTTATGGTGGCTTTTTCTTGAATAGTTTCATTCGTCTTCCAAAAGTCCGCCTGTAGGAGGAAATGCCAATCCGAACGCTAGTCTTAATATTGATGGTCGGGCTTGCTTTGCTACCTTCACAGTACTAGGCGCACTCTCTTTCAGCAGGCATGCTTGAGAACTCGTTTTTGTAACGCGAGCTGCACCAGATCGCGGGCAGTCGACCTAGGGCAAGAGTTTGCTTCCCTGTTACGCTCGAGGAAGGTGTGGACAGGGTCTTGGGACGGTAAGGCACCGCTTTTGGAAGCGTTAGTGTTTCGAAGTTGCCGAGCCGAGGATCCGTCTCGCTCATCTCCGTATGTATTCTGTAGTGGGCCAAGGTGGCCGACGATAACTTGGTTGTGTTTGGAATGTTCTGGCACCCTGCCGACTCTTTCCCATCGCCGCTGAGTTCGTGGTGATATCGATGGACTCGGTCGTTGAAGGTGATATGTTCGTAGACGGCTACTGGATTCGAGGTATTGTCAATGAAATCAATATCGCTGGTTGGGCTTTCATTCTAGCGTGTCGGCGCTCGGGGGCGGAAGATGTATGCCGTCTGGCCTTGCTCAATTTGCGCACGAGCATTGGTCCGAAGGTCAGGTTTTGTAAGGTAGGCAACGTGATCGCTGGTCTGACGGCCCAGCTTAGGCGGCGGCAGACTTGCATCCTGTGTCCCCGTGCGAGCTTGAGGGTCGTGGTCGTCAAGTGGCCGTCTCTCGTTCGGTGGGGCGTCTTGGGGCTAAGCTTCTGTCTCTGAAGCCGGAGTTGGCCATGGGGCCCGATGTTGGCTCGTAAAGACTGAACCTCCTGCGAGACAGGAGCAGCGCACTTCGCACCAGTTGAGCTGGGCGGGGCACCTGCTGGCAGTGCTCAGAATGTTCGAGAAACGGAACATGCCGCCCCCTGGTCGAGCCGACGGGAGGGTCGTGCTCGACCGTCTTGCGTGTTCGGCCCGCAGATCTCGGTGCCCTCGGCCACCGTTGTGCGGTGCTCGATTCTGCAGATGGCCTTTCTGTTTGCCGCACGTGCGGGTGCCTCACATCGTTGGGGGGCGGCTGGCCAACCTCGACAAGAAGTGCGAGCCTCACAAAGTGGTCTCGCACAACAGACCTTGGTCGAAGTTGAAGCGGGGGTCCATCCCAGTGCTAAGAAGCGTGGGGTCACCGTCGACCTCAACACGCTTTCTGTTGTGCTTGCAACTTTCATGGGGTTGCATTTGGTCAGTTGTGCATTTCATGTGGAGTTCGGGCCAGACTGGTTCGCCACCATTCTGCTTTAACCGTGGGCTGCAGGACGGTCGACCTTGAACACCAACTCCCTCCATCTCCTCCTCCCTCCTGTTCTCCTCCCCCCTTTCCTCTCAGTCACGTCCTGCCACTCCTTCTGCCCCTCTTCCCCCTCCCCCTTCCTCCCCCCACCTGTTCTCCCCCCACACACACAGCTGGAAGGTGAGAAAACATCATTCGAAGGCATGACTGACGGCGTGCTTTCTGACGACCCCATGCTCCATCTCCACTCTCCCACTCCCCCCTTTTATTCCTACTCTTCTCCACCCTCTCCCTCCTCCTCCTCCTCCTCCTCCTCCTCCTCCTCTTCCTCCTCCGCCTGCGAGGGAGTAAAGAGGAGACGGCGAGGCCCAGAGAGTCGGCCTGGCCAGGAACTCGCTGCACACGCCGCCCACAGCGCGGCCTGAGCAAAAAACCGTGCACACCGATGCCGAGGCAGGGGCCCTGGGCTTGCCCTGCCATGCTCCGTGTGCGCAGGTGCGCACGCTGCAGAGGCCGAGCTTGGCGGGCGTGTGCGCCGATGCCGGGGCCCGGCCATGCTCCTGTGTGGCCCGGTGGCGGCGCCGTCCAGGCCGCAGCCCAGGCAGGCAGGTGCGCGGAGAAGCTGGGCCCAGGGACGGCGTGCGGCGCCGCCTCGGCATCGGTGCGCGCGCTGGCCAGGCCAAGCCTGAGCGCACACACCGATCCAGGACTTGCCTGGCACGCCCCGGTGTCGGTGCACACCCAGGCATCCGCTGGCGTGTACGGCACGGGTTCCCAGAGCTCCGGGCCCCTGCTCCGGGGCTGTTTCTCCTGGTTCTTCTTTCTTTTCTGCGGAACTGTACCCATGTGGCGGGTCTGGCAGCTCCGTGCTCGCCGGTGCCTCCCCGTCGCCACATCTTCGCCGCCCGTCGTCCAGGCCTTGGTGGCTATCTTGCGGATCTGTGCTCGCCGGGGGCCGGGGGTTGACCTGTCGCCGCCTCGTCGACGCCCGTCGTCCAGGCTTGGGTGGCGGTCTGGAGGCTCCGTGCCCTTCGCCGCCTCGTCGCCGCCCGTCGTCTGCGCCTGGGTGGTGGTCTTGCGGCTATGTGGTCGCCGTCGCCGCCTCGTCGCCGCCCACATGTGTACAGCACAAAGAGGTTCACCGATACTGCACAACGTCGACTGCACCACGCAGAGTCTTCCTTGTGAAATGATCGGGATCTACAGCCCCCCCAAGGCATGCACTCGCGCGTCGTCGCGCGCATGCCGACATCCAGAGAAAACAAACCGAAGGTTTTGTACGTATATCAATGTCGAGTGCCCCGAAAACATTTAAACACACACACACACACACACACACACACACACACGCACGCTGATTTGCAACATGGCTTTTCAAACAAGTCTGCGCGCGAACTCTTGTGAAAACCTATGTGAGCCATCGGTTGTTCAACACAGTCACCACATGCTACAAAACGGGCCTTTCGCGCGCGCGTGTCACAATCATTGGAACGCCCTTGCGCGCTTGCTGGGGGGTGCACGATCTTTGTCAAACAATATGATGGGGGCCACTCGCGCCGGTCTGCCGCGCGCGCATGTCGAAATCCTTCTCAAACCTTCATCACGGACACGTAGGCATCATCATCGTTATCGGCGTCATTCGCGCCGTCATTGGCCTTGCCGTCGTCATCGTCATAGTCGTCACCAGCATCGCCATTTTAATCATCGCTTCTGCCGGAAACCCCCAGAGGTCAGCGCCATTGCGCCCGCGTCTGTCGCGCCAGGCTAGCTGGCCGCTGTGCGCGCGAGCGTGCGCGCGCCAGCGCGGCCGCAGCGATGCGCCAGGCACTGCCAAGCAGTCGTGGCAATCGCCGCCGGGTGGGTTTCGCAAGCCAAGTCGCGGGTGGCTGGGTGGGACGAACGCGCGAGCGCTGGAATTGACAACTTCAAGTTCGGCCGTGTGAATTACACCGCAGATTTTGCACCACGTCGGTTCTCCTTTGTTGCATTGTAAAGAAAACCGATCCCACCACATTCCCGATGCCAGACTTATCGGGTCCCTCTGGGCTCGTACAGTGTACACCTGATTTTGCCCCGTCGTGTCGTGAAAATTCAAACTCGTACGATCTCAGCCACGCCGGTATCGACCCTTCTTGTCACCCTTGTCAATTAGTGCAATGCGCGCACACCCATTCATCAACAATCGTCCATTTGCATCGGTTTGTTGCAACAGAAATGACGACGCACGCGCGTGGTGTGGCGCGCGGGTGCCGCAATCTGTCGAAGTCCACGCTTCGCACGGGTTTCAAGATTGAGTGCCCCGAGAAACAAGCATTGACATTGCAACGCGCATTCTTTCGAAAATTTGATGTTTTCAAACATGTTCATCCACTGCGACCAAGCGGGGTTATTGCGCGCGCGTGTCGGAATTATTCGAAGGGTCCTTGCGTGTTTGCCGGTGGGGGCTGGGCACGATCCCCTTCAAGTCAGGCCCTGCTCGCCAGTCGCGCCCGTCGGCCTCGCGCGCAGGTCAAGATTCTTCCATGCCCTTCTTCGCCGATGCGTGGACGCCATCATCGTAATCGGCGTGATCCGCATCGTCGCCGTCATTGGCCTTGCCGTTGTCATCGCCATCGTCGCCACGAGCATCGCTACTATCCTCATCGTGTCGGCCGTTGTCGACGTCGCCAGGCTACCGCGCCTTCCGGATCACCGACGCGCACTGAAGTGCCCGCGCGTCAGCGCCACTGCGCCCGCGTCGGTCGCGCTAGGCTCGCTAGCCGCTCTGCGCGTGAGCATGTGCGCGCCAGCGAGGCCGCAGCAATGCGGCAGCCAGCGCCAAGCATTCATCACAGCGCCGCTGTATGGGCATTGCAAACCACATCGCGGTTGGATGGGATATATCATTGCGCACTCAGTGGATTTGCCAACTTGCTGCGAAAGAAAACTAATAACACCACATGCGGTCTCGTTTTTTGCTTTACAAATATTGGGATCTGCACCCCCCTGGGATTGATTGAACCGCACTCTTTTTTGTATTGTGGTTTTCTGTATATGAACCTGCCCCGCCATCCATCAAAAATGCGAATTCGTATTATCCCAGCCAGGCCCGTATCGACACCCTCCATCCCTTGCAGCGGATATTGCGCGTGCGCGCTCGTTCACTAACAACCAGCAGATGAGGAAGTGCGCACGCGCGTGCCATCGCGCACGCGTGCTTTAGGTTTCGGTCGAGCGCCCCGATAACATTAACAGCGCACAGGATTGCATGTTTTTGCCACAAGAATGTCCAACACAAGTTTGCGCGCGCTCTTGCGAATTCTTAAGGCAACCATCGGTTTTTCAATGTTGTCATAAAATTTTGCTACATAGGTCTCTCGCGCGCGCGTGTCAGAGTCGTTCGGCCGCCTTTGCGCGCATGCCGTCGCAGAAATGCTTTACGACGGCTTGAACGAAGTACACGCGCCCGCGTGTCCGCGGGGGTATGCCGAACCCCGTCAAACATGTTATAGGCTTCCCAGGGATTTCAAAATCGATTGCCCAGAAATGATTATTGAAACAACGAAGACATGGCTTTGCAATCTCAGATCCCTAAATCGAGCCATAAACAAACATTCGCTTGCTGTCCTGTGGCTTTCCCAGAACATTTTCATCGCATTCTGCCGAAGCGGCCTTTCGCGCCGCATCTCGGCATCATTCCAGCTGCCTTGCCCGCGTGCTGGGGGGCGCGATCCGTCTCAACTACTACCATGCGGGCCACTCGCGCGTCGGCCGCGTGCGCGCAGGTTGAACTCCTTCAAAAAGCTGTCGCCGACGCGAGGACATCGTCATCGTCGTCGGCGTGATCAGCATCAGCGCCGCCTTTGGCCGTGCCGCCGCCGATGTTCATTATCGTCACGAGCGTCGCTGCCATCATCATCGTGTCTACCATTGTCGCCATTGCCATGTTGCCGCCTTCGCCCAGGAGGCAGGCTCGCACTGAAGCGCCTGTGGGAGGTGCCCAGAGGTCAGCGCCACCGCGGCCGCGTCGGTCGCGCAAAACAACACGGCCGCTGCGCGCGCGAGCATGCGCGGGCTAGCGCGGCCGCGGAGGTGCACCAGCCAACGCCGAGCATTCACCGGAATCGCTACCGCATGGGTTTTGCAAAATACATTGCGGGTGAATGGATGGGGTGATCCCGCGAGCACTGGGATTGACAATTGCAAATTCCACAACATAGAAGGATCGCCCCTCCCCCTCCAGGGTTAAAAAACAATCCTTTTCCGCATTGTAATTTGCACATGTTTCTGCCCCATTGTCCATCCCACTTGTGCACTCATTCCATCCCAGCCAGGCTGGATATCGACCCCTCTTCATTGCTTGTAAGAGTATACGCGCGCTGTCTGTCAAAAATCACCAGTTTTCAAACCATCCCGTTGCAACAGACGGGGCGAAGTGTACGCGCGCGCGCCGTCGCGCGCGCATGCCAGAATTTGGTGTAACAGTTTGAGGTCCCGTAGGGAGTTCCGAGCCGAGATTAAGAACACATGTGACAATACATGGTTTCCCAACAGGGGTCTTCAAAAAACACTGCGCCGCGCTCCAGCGCATTTTACGAATCTCGCAGGCTTTATATAGGGCCTTTCGCGCGCGCATCGCGAAATCATTCGGACGCCCTGCGCGCGTACTGCCGCACGACTGTCGCGCGAACCCCTTGCAAACAATGCGGCGAACTGCACCCGCGCGCGTCGTCGCGCGCGCATGGCGAAACCAATCAAAGACAAATTTTCTTGTCAACCAAGAAACCATCAGCTTTCAAAAGCTTTCAGCGCTCGCGGTCTTACTGGTCGACTACATCACTAAAATGGTGTTCAAGAGGTTCATCACATTCTGCCAAGCGGGCCTCTCGCGCCGCATGTCGAACTCATTCGGGTGCTCTTTGCGCGCGTGCTGGGGAGAGCATGTTACGTGTCAAGTATTACCACGCGGGCCAAGCGCGTCGGCCGCGCGCGCATGTCGACCTCCTTCGAAAACCCTTATCTCCGCCGCCGGGACATCGTCATCGTTGTCGGCTGGCGTGATCAACATGGGCGCCGTCATTGGCCTTGCCGTCGTCATCGCCACCATCGCCACCACCATCGCTAGTTTGATAATCGTGTCTACCGTTGTCGGCTTCGCCACGATACCGCGCCCGCCCAATTCACCGACTCTCATTGAAGTGCCTGCCGGCTAGTGCCCAGCGGTCAGCGCCACCGCGGCTGTCGGCCCCGCCAAACAAGTTTCCCGCTGTGCGCTCGAGCATGCGCGGGTTAGCACCGCCGCGACTTTGCACCAGGCAGCGCCGAGCAGTCATCGCAGTCGCCTCCGCATGGTTTTTGCAAGGCAAGCTGTGGTATGTGTCAGTTCATTTATAATAATCACATGCGCCACATACAACGCGCCAGGTATGTTGCACCTCCTTGATCGCGCGCTACATAAACTGCAAATTGTCGATGGCACCACATAGATTGCACAACATAGCACAGCACACCTTGGGCAACATAGCACCACGTAGGGTGCATCACATCAATAGCCCCACCACGCATGCACACCATACAGATTCATATACCTATATACCTATATACCGATATACCTATATATATAGATATATCACGTTGGTTCTCTCTCCATCTCTCTTTCTTTTCTCCCCCTCCCTCTCTCTCTCTATATATATATAACTTCTCGTTTCTAAAGAAGAATAGAGTCTACCCCACCCCCCCCCAGCGTTATCGGTCCTCCTTTCGGGTAGGTAAATCATATACGATTCTGCCACATGTCCATCTTAACTATGATTTGTCATTATCGCAGGGGGCCAGTATCGACCCCCTCTGAGGTTCCCTTTCTGTGTTTTTTTAGAATAAAAAAACGGCGCGCGGGGACATCTTTTGTTCTAACGTAGCATTTTTTCACGAATCCTCTGCAAAAGCAGAGACGAAGTGCCGACATCCTCCAAAAACCATCGGTGCCGGAAGGATTTCGCAACCGAGTTTCCAAACAACATACAAAAACCCAGTGTTTCGCAACACTGATTGACTAAAAAAGCTTACGCGCGAGCTCTTGCGAAATCTCAAGAAAACCATAGGTTGTTCAAGATTTTCACAAAATGCTACCAAACGGGATTCGCGCGCGCGCATGTCCAAATCTGTCGAGCGCCCCTGCGCGTGTGCCGTCGCGAGAACCCTCTGCAAAAAATGGGACGAAGTGCAGACGCGCGCGTCGTCGCGCGCGTATGCCGAAATCCTTCAAAACTCATCGGCTTCGGAAGGATCTCAACATCCTGTGTCCAAAAACATACAAACACACAAGGTTTCGCAACACGGATTTTCAACAAAAGCGTGCGCGCGCGCTCTTGCGTCGTCGTCGTCGTCGTTGCCGTCCTCCCTCCTCCCGCGTCGTCGTCGTTGTCGCCTACGTCGTCCTCTGTCTTTCCTCGTGTTCGTCGTCGTTGTCCTCTTTGGCGTCGTGGTCGTTTCCGTCGTCGTTGTCGCCGTGGTCGTCCTTCCTCCCCCCTCCTCCTTCGTCGTCGTCGACGTCCGTCGTCGGCGTCTCGTCGTCGTCCCTCCTATTTCGTCGCCGTCGTCGTCGTCGTCGTTATCGTAGTCGTCTTCCCTCCTCCCTCGTCGATGTCGTCGTCGGCGTCGCCGTCCTTCCTCCTTCTTCGTCGTTCGCGTCGTCGCCGTCCTCCTTCCTCCCTCGTCGTTGTCGTAGTTGTCGTCGTTGTCGCCGTCGTCGTCCTCCCTCCTCTCTCGTCGTCATCTTCGTTGGCGACGTCGTCGTCGTTGTCGTCGTCGTCGTCGTCGGCGTCGGCGTCGTCGTCGTCTTCGTCGTCGTCGTCGTCAACGCCGTCGTCGTCGTCGTCGTCGTCGGCGTCGTTGACGTCGTCGTCGTCGGCGTCGTCGTTGTCGTCGTCGTCGTCGGCGTCATCATCGTCGTCGTCGTTGTCATCGTAGTCGTCGTCGTTGTCGGCGTCGGCGTCGTCGTCGGTGTCGTCGTCGTCGTCGTCGTCGTTGTCGGCGTCGTCGAAGTTGTTGGAGACGTCGTCGTCGTCGTCGTCGTCGTCGGCGGCGTCGTTGTCGTCGTCGTTGTCGTTGTTGCTGTCGTCGTCGCTGTCGTTGCCAAGTGCCATTTTGTACCCACCGTCACGGTCTTAAGAGATTTTGCAAACCAAGTTGCGGGTGGGTGGGTGGGATGGTTGCGCGAGCAGTGGAGGTGGTCAAGCGCGGTGCAGGGTAGTCAATTGCACCACATAGATTGCACAATCTCTTTGGCAACACGTAGAGTACACGACGTAGATTGCGCCACACAAATGATATGGGCCACGGTACGGCACGGCACGGCTTCATTGCAGGAGCACGCAGTACCAGATCGTTTAGCCGTGCCCGGATTGTTGGTATTGGTATCGCCGGCACGGTATTCGGACCTTGCGGTATTGGTACGGGCACGGTGCCAGGACTGCACTCCGGGACCACGGCTGGTACCAGTCAGGTAGTGCGACCATCTCTTGTTTGAGAGCCGTAGCAGGTCTGACGAAAACACGCGCATTAAAAACAGCACGGGGTTGACAGCGCCATTCGACTCAGGTGTGGGGGCCCACGGGCAGGACGAGGAGGGAGAGGAGGGGGCCCAGGACCTCCGCAGGGGTGCCAGGAGGAGGACGGGCCCTTCCTCCGGTCGGGGGGGGGCAAATATTTGCCCCCCTTCGAGGGCCAGGATCTCCCCTTCGAGGGCCAGGATCTCTCCGCCCAGAGAGTCGCCACCAAGGGGTTTGCCACCAGGGGTCGACACGGTGATGGCCGTCGGGGGGTCGCCACGAGGGGTATCGCCTCTGGGAGGTCGCCACGGGGGGAGGTTGCCACGTGGGAGGCTCGCCACCGAGGGGAGGGGGTCGCCAGCGTGGTCGCCACGGTGGGGGTCGCCACAGAAGATTGGGGCGCCATTGTGACGATCGCCGCTGGGAGGGTCGCCACGGGGGGCGTCGCCACCAGGACGGTCGCCACCGGTGGGTCGGGGGGGACATCGGAGAAGTCGCGACGGCGATGGTGACGACGATGATCAGTACGACAGCGACGGACGGGGTCGATACGGTGAACGGCAGTACGGTATCGTCCGGCACGTTGGTCGTGGACGGTGCGGTACCATTTGGTACGGTGGTCGAGGTCGGTTCGGTATCGTCCGCTACGGGTGCTCGCGGCCGGTACAATGTCGTCCTGTACGGTGGTGTCGGCCGTGTGGCGCGGGATTCTATGGCGTGGTGCCGATTGGCCGGCATCCAGAGCGGCAGACCCTGTCTCGAAGCCCCAAAAGTTGCGAAGAAGCGGCCGCTTGGACGTGGCTATAGGACGAGGAGAACTACCTCCGGAACACTCCGCGCGTTCCAGAACGCAGTGAGGAGGCCGCGGCGCCCGATACATCCTCCAGAGCCGCCGGATCTGAGAGAAATCTTCGATTGCGACGGCCTTACGGCTGGTGCCGCCGACCCTGAATGGCGACGACGACGACGACGACGACGACGACGACGACGACGAGCGCTCTTGTGGGCCTCTTGGGGGTAGTTTGTGGGCCTCTTGGGAAGCTCTTAGGGGCCGCTTGGAAGCCTCGTGGGGGCCTCTTGGGGCTTCGATTTATCTTCACCCGAATTGGTTTTCGTCCTGGCCTCGTCTTAGCCGTCTCGACTCCCCCGGGCTGCTGGATGTCCTGGTGCGGTGCCCCGGCCGAGCCACGACGCCTCTGCGGGAACGCCAGGACTTGCCTGGGCCGAGCCCGGCGGCCGTGCACGCCGAGGCTGGGCCAGTGGACTCGCCTGGTTCGCTTGCCATGATGGGCCTGTTTTCCACCACCACCACCACCATAAGTTGGAGGGGGGAGGGAGGAGGAGGAGGAGGAGGAGGAGGAGGAGTAGGAGGAGGAGGAGGAGGACCCCCTCCCCCTCCTACTTATGGTGGTGGTGGTGGTGGAAAACAAGCCCACGACGCCAGTGCTCTCACGCTGCCCCGCCGATCCAGGCGAATTTGCACACCGACGTTCTCCCCGACGCCGTGAGCGTTTCACAGCGTGGAGCCCCCCCAGAGGTCTCGACCCGCTCCCGGGGGCCACCTCTTCATCTCCTCTGCCCTTTCCTGACGGTCCCTGGGCCCGGCGAGGGCCCGCGCGAAGCATCCGCCGTCGTTCGTGATACGGCGCGAGGAGGTCTGCGCTGGGCCGCAGGACTGGTCTGGCCAGGCCTGCGGTCGGCGCCATCCCAACGTACTATTGCTGCGTGGGTGCGTCGCCCTCCCCCCCCCCCCTGGGGCGACGCGCGCACCGACCAATCCTTTCGTACATGCGTCGTGGCGGGCGCTTTCCGGCCTCACCGCTCGGGAAGCGGGTATACTACAGGATGGGTTCCATCATGTGTTCGGGTCCCGCGCGCCTCCAAGGAGGACCTATAATACGAGCATGTCGTTGTGCGTCCCATGCGGATCGGGTCGGTGCTCGCGCAGCCCCCGCGTGCTCCTCCGCGGCAGGCTCCGCGCCGAGCGGGCCGCTGTCGCCCCGCAGCCGCAGCCGGAAGGGCGAAGGCGCCCCCCGCCTCGCGCCGACCACGGCCCCAGCCCGCCTTCGTCCTTCCTTGGAGGGTCAAGGCCACCTGCTTCTAGAATCGGAGAAGCGTGAGGCATGAGTAAGCCAGAACTCGGGTTTGCCGATGTTTTTTTGACGAGCCCGCCCTGGATGTTGACGATCCAGTTTCGTGGGATGTCTGCAGCGGGAGCTCGCGTCAAATTTCGGACTGGGTCTGGTCATGTTCATGATGGCCTCGTCAGGCCAACCCGCATCCCTCGAACACGAGTCTTGCGTCTCCCGGATAGAAGACGAATCTCTTCGGAGAAGAGAAGGCGCCATAAGCATTTTTTTGTTGCGCCCCGCCCGCCAAAAGTGTATGTTTATAGCGCTTGTTTGTCTTCTAGAGTATCTGGGGCCAATGCCAAGTACAGCTCTCACGTTCTAGCCACGAGCGTCCATGGACACTTTGGGTGCCGTGAGGTCTGCGGACACATTCGGGGTGGATGCGTCGATGGACAGCGCGGCCGTTGCGTTCGGCGCAGTGCAAGGTCGGAGAAAGGGTGGATCCGTCGACGGCATAATCTCTGGACCAGGTCCCACATGGCCCCCGTGTTCGCATCCTGGATACTCGATCGGGGTGGTTTGATTTGATACATCTGCAGGAAAGACTCCCTTATCCCTAATGTTCCTGGCCCTCCTAGCTCAGGTTCCCTCCCAGACGGTTGGGGGATCCTCTTATTGCTAGTGATCCCTCCCTCCTCAGACCTCAGACGCATTGGACACTTCAAGGCGAAGGCTTTGTCGTGTTCGGTCTCTGGGGGTCCTCGCCGGCCCCCAGGATCGACGAAAAAGACGGCTCTCGGTGGTTCAGAGTTGGAGTCATGAGGGATGGGGTCCTGAGGACGAGGTGCCAGGTGCCTCAAACAACGTGGATCCTCCCTTGCATCCTTTCCTATCCTTAGGAACCCCATCCCCCAGGAATCAATATTTGAGCCACCGAGGCTCCGGATGAGGAGTCGGCCTCATAATGTTCCAACCTATTTCAGTTAGCCTTGGTCACCAAAAAGATCAAGAACGTACCGAAATTGGAGGGCTTGCACGTGTCGGGCCCTGGGCGCTCGAGCTGATTTCTGAGGTGTGGTCCTCAAGTACGGTGCGAGCAGCATAGTCTTTGAGCCACCGAGGCTCCGGATGAGGAGCCGGCCCTAGGAGGAGGAGGAGGAGGAGGAGGAGGAGGAGGAGGAGGAGGAGGAGGAGGAGGAGGGAGGAGGAAGTCTGAGCAGCGAGTTGGTGGTGGAGGAGGAGGAGGAGGAGGAAGTCTGAGGTCCAGGCCGCCAGGGGCCCCGCAGTGAGACGCTCGAGACATTGCACGTCGCACGCCTGGGCCCCTCCCTCCTCGCGATGGGCGCCTGCCTCCGCCGTGGCTTCGAGGGTGGCGTCGGCCAGGAAACTGGGCCCACTACGGGGGCTGAGGCACCTTCGCGAGGTACCCCCTGCTCATTGTCCTCCTCCTCCTGCCTTCCCCCTCCTCCTCCTCCTCCTCCTCCTCCTCCTCCTCCTCCTCCTGCTTCTCCTCCTTCTCCTGCTTCTCCTCCTCCTCCTGCTTCTCCTCCTCCTCCTCCTCCTCCTCCTCATCATCATCATCATCATCATCGTCATCAGCATCATCATCATCATCATCATCATCATCGTCATCATCATCATCAGCTTGATCATCATTATCATCATCATCATCATCATCATCATCATCATCATCATCATCATCATCATCATCATCATCATCATCATCATCATCATCATCAATGTTCAGCATCATCGTCATCATCATCATCATCAGCATCATCATCATCATCATCATAATCATCATCATCATCACCATCATCATCATCATCATCATCATCATCATCATCATCCCCCTTCTCCTGCGTCTCCTCCTTCTCCTCCTCCTCCTTCTCCTTCTCCTCCCCCTCCTCCTCCTCCTCCTCCTCCTCCTCCTTCTCCTTCTCCATCTCCCTCTCCTCCTGCTCCTCCTCCTCGGCGCTTGAGGGAGGCGGCCTTTCTAGGAGGGCACGATGGGCAATTTCATAAGAATGCAGGGGCGTTCTTAGCAGGGCCCTCGCGGCTTCCAAGAAGGCCCCTGCTCACCAAGGAGCACCCCGCCTTACGTTGCATCTTCGGGGGGCCTCGCCTGTCCCCCAAAATTGTTGTTCTCCCGGTGCCCGACGCAGGCTCGATCCGGACTCGACGTGGATTTGGCGTGGACTCGACGCCTTCTCAACACGGATTCGACACGGATCCGACGAGGCCGACACGGATTCGACACGGAGTCGACGCGGATGGGCCCGCGACGGGACAGACGAGGCCCCCCAGGGATGCAACAGAACCCGCCTCATCTGCGACGGCTGCCCCCCTCGCGCCACCCCCGCGCGCGCCCCCGCCAGTGTGGCCCCGTGTCTCCGACGTGTTGGCTCGAAAGGTTTTACGCGTGTTTTTCTCCTGCGGGCACCCAGGAGAGGGTAGCCATACAGGTCGTTGAAAGCACGTATTTTTGGAATCCCCGGTTCCAGTCTGCTTTGGGCGCCCTCCTTCTTCAGGGATCGAGTGGCGTCCCCTCTTCCCTCCTTTCCCGGGGGGCGGGCGGAGGCCAATCTATTTCCGACGCCTTCCTACTTCATGGCTCTGCCTTCTTCTTCCGACCGATGGGTAGGTACGTTACGCTGCATCTTCGGGGGACCTCGCCTGTCCCCCAAATCGGTGTCCTTTCTTGTGTCCGACGCGGGCTCGATGCGGCCTCGACTCGGATTTGGCGTGCATCCGACGCGGATTCGACACGGATTCGAAACGGATCCGACAAGGTCTACATGGATTCGACACGGAATCAACGCAGATAGGCTAGGGCCGCGGCGGGACAGACAAGGTCCTTTGAGGATGCGAAATAAGGTACGGCTTCCAGTTTTGTGAGCGTGCGTTGTCTGACATTTCTTGTCGTTCTGCCTGCGTGCAGTTGTTCCTGCTTCATCCTCCTTTTCCCCAGCGGGTGCTGCGGGGCTCCTTGGGGGCCTCGTGGAGGCGTAGGGGGGGCGGCCTCCTGGAGCTGTTCCAGAGGGATCTGGGGGGCTCGTTGAGGCCCTCTGGAGGCCCCTCGGGAGCACTTTCGGGGTGGCTTCGAGGGCCCCCGAGGTGAGTTGGGGAGCTCGACCCTCCACCCCCCTCTTGATTGGCCTGTTTTCCACCACCACTGCCACCAAAAGTTGGAGGGGGATGGGCTCCTCCTCATCCTCATCCTCATCTTCCTCCTCCTCCTCCTCCTCCTCCTCCTCCTCCTCCTCCTCCTCCTCATCATCATCATCATCATCATCATCATCATCATCATCATCATCATCATCATCATCCTTCCCCCCTCCAACTTACGGTGGTGGTGGTGGTGGAAGACAGGCCCATCACCTCTAAATGGATTTAGACCCCATGGACGAGGAAAGGGGGAGGGATGACAGGTGACAGCCAATCGCCTCACGCGCTTCTTCACCCCTGGCAGTCGAGGGTCGGCGGATATGCTGCGATGGTCGAAGGCTTTTAGACACGCTCAAAGTTTCCTAAAAACTTCCTACGCTGTTGTAGGCCGTCCTGGGCCTCCAGGGACAGGGCACCCCCTGGAGACTTCAAGATACCTCGATACGGGTCACGAATTCCACTTTCCCATGGCCCCATGGCATTGAACAAATTTACCCCGAGAGGTCGAACATTGCGACAGACCTCCGCCTTGTTCCCACCAGTCCTAAAGTTTTTGGTCCTCGTTGTGAAGCTACAGCACCTCGCATCACTCACTCCTCCTCCTTCCTCCTCCCCTCCTCTTGCCGCTCCACTCCGATGCCCATTCCGGCACACCCCTCACACGCTTCGTGGCCCCATATGGAGCCCCAGCTAAGGCCAACATGCCAAAGTCCGCATGGCCCCGCCGCCTCGTTTCGGTACACCCATCACACGTTTCGTGGCCACATCAAGACCTCCAACTAAGGCAATACTGCCAAGGTCCGCATGGCCCCGCCACCTCGCTTCGGCACGCCACTCACACGCTTCGTGGCCCCATAGGGAGCTCCAGCTAAGGCCCAAATGCCAGGGTCCGCATGGCCCCGTCGCCTCATTCCAGCAAACCACTCACACGTTTCGTAGGCCCTATCGGGAGATCCAACTACGCCTATAATGCCAGGGACCGCATGGCACCGCAGCATCATGTCCGCATACCCTCACACGTTTCAGCGAAGGCCCTAATTTCAGGGTCCGCATGGCACTCCGCCTCAGTTCGGCACGCCCCTCACACGCCTCGTGGCCCCGTAGGGAGCTCCAACTGATGCCCCAATGCCAGGGTCCGCATGGCCCCGCCGCCTCGTTTCGGCACACACCCCACACGTTCCGTGGTGCCATAGGGAGCTCCGGTCAAGGCCCTAATCTTCAGTCGGGCCTGTCCCTCTACAGGGGGAATTATCCCAAATAGTCCAAAAATGGTATCGGGACGACTTTTTGATTATGTTTGTTCACTTTTGGAGTATTTGTTGACTATGTTTTATTCTGCGTCCAAAACCCGCCTGTATGGGGACGTGCCCGACCTAACCCTAACCTCAGGGTCCGCATGGCCCCGCCGCCTCATTACGGCGCGCCCCTCGCACGCTTCGTGGCCTCGTCTGGGGCTCGGGCCACCCGCGCCCAGGCGGGTAGGAATGCAACGCGCAACGGGACCAAGGAGAGGGGAGAAAGTGTTGGGAACAAGAGCGCCCTCGAGGGCGCGAAGTTATTCGCGCTTCGCGGTTCGGCTCCGATTTCTCCTCGTCCTCCTCTTCTCCCCTGGGAGGCGGCGCGAGAGCGCGAAGTGGTTCGCACTTCGCGCTTCGCGTAGCGCGAAGCGCGAAGTTGGGAGCCCTGGTTGGAAGGAAAAGGGCACGACACTGCGGCGCACGGGGCCCTGGCCAAACCAAGGAGGCTCTCGCACGCACGCGCCAGCATGCCCCGCCCGCCATTCACGCCGCAGCACGTTTTGCTGGTACCGTCCTTCACATCACCTGCCTCGCGGCATTCGCGGCTGCATATGGCTGCGTTTTCCAAGGATCTACTTTTCCTTTGTAAAACGCCATGGCTTCGATTCGATTGTCGATTCGATGGCTGGTTCTTGTTGTTGGAGGTCTTGGGCGGTGCCAGTGGAGAATTCGCCGCTGACGGCGACGTCGTCGTTGTCGTTCCTCTCGTACTCGCACACTTGCCGCTCGGTTGCTGCCCTTCTTCTGCGGCTGTTTCTGTCCCATCCTTCCGCTCATGCTTTTTCAATTGCGCTTTTCTTTTTCGTGTTCCATCATCATGCAGGTCATCGCCGTCATCAGTCTCATCTCTTCGTCCCTCCCCTCATCGTAATCTCGACCCGTCGTGCTACTGCTCAGCCTGCATGGGCCGGCGGGACACACACTTCTCAGGGTTAATTGTGGGGGAGCGCGAGGAGGGAGATGCTTGGAAGTGCCGGACCCATGGGAATGAACAGTCCAGGCGGACGGGGCCAGTGTAATCACGTTACAGAAGTACGAAGACGTTCAGGATTGAAGACACTTTCATCCAGGATGCGGGGTGGAATCTGTGTATGTATATGCATATGATACAGCCATGATGCTAGGGCCGAAATTCTTTCATGCACTCATCGTTTGACTTTGTGATGTCACGCACAAAATCGTTACGTGCGTACTGGATGCGCATGTTGCAGGGTGATCGTTGCAAACCTGTTCTATTGTGCTCACCGGTCCCAGGATTCACCACCTGACGGGCTGGGGTAGAGCGGAGTTTGCTGGCCCGCCTGCCCTTCATTCCGCGGCCGCCAGATCTCCAGACCCACCGAGAATCCCCCGAGACCTGCGCCTCTCCCCTTCGACGAACACGACAGCACGTGGCCGAAGTGAGCATAAGGCCACACATCATAATATAGCAGACCAGTGCACAACAGAACACAACATCAGATATGCCATCATACAACTACACACGAGAAAACAGCTCTTTCCATGACACAGCATCGCACAGACAACGTTGCACCACATGGCAAAACATACCGTGACTCCGCTGCATGACCTTTCATGAGTTCACAGAACATACAATCGCATACGATCATTTAATAACAGCTCATTCCATAACATGACACACTATACCATTCCATACCACAACGTATTGATGCATGTAATGACATAGCGAGGCATCCATACCATGGTACATTACATCTCAGCATATTATTGCATGGTACATCGAAACCTACATGACACATCATGACCTAGCTTAGCACAGCCTATCTCTTGCACGTCACCGTGGCATGGAATAGCATTACACACCTCAGCATCAAGTAATCGACCACTCCATACTATGGCAAAGCATTCCATAAGAGAGCGCGGCATAGTCTATGATACAGTAGTTGAACATACAATAGCATACTTCATAACATATCTTAGCCCAACATGAGCTGACTGCCCATACTCCAGCCTGGCACAGCATAACAGTGCATGCGCTGACAGAGCGGAGCATACGTGACATATCATACCATTGAACACATACCATACCATAACAGACTACAGCATGGCATAGCACAGCACACGATACCATACCGTGAACAACAGAGCATACCACAATACCACACATACGCGAGCATCACATATCACAATACAACACATACGCGACAGCACGTCAGAAAGTAGCAACCGAACACAGCTGTTATCAGCATATCGCAACAGGGCATTTCAGAGCAGAACATGCCAGTCCAGATCGTTGCAGAACACAGCGTAACAGTGTATGCAATGACAGAGCGGGGGAGACAGAGCATAGCACAGCACCGCACACCATTACATAATACATCAGAGCGTATCATGGCAAACTTTGACATAACATAGCACGACATAACCATCGCATGGCAGAGCAGACCGTAACCGCGCACAGCATCACAGCACAGAGCGTTCCAACCCATGACAGCGCAGACCATGACATTGCACGGCATGCCATATAAGACCATGGCATATTGGCATAGCTCATACCCTTAGATGTCATGACGGAACATGGCACGACAGGACGCCTCATCGAGCATAATTGTCAATAGCACTGCGTACCATGACATATGTGAGCATAGAAGTGTACACGATTACATAGCACAGCAACATCCATAATAGTTCCAGCGTTGCTACCACGACGGCAAAGAAGGGAACATCATCCGTACAGGGTTCAACAGACCGCAGAGGAGCATCACAACATACAAAACAACACATTGCATCATTTAATGTGCAGAGCACAACGTAGCCGGCATATCATGCCAAATTGGTTCATTATTGCTACGTCCACGTGCCGGCCAGACAGCCCTCGGAGCCCTTGACCAGAGGTAAGAGTGCCTAAATGCAAGCGCCGTTTGTCACGTGAGCTGGTTTGCAACCCACCCTCTTCCTGGGATCCAACTCCCTGGAGGTCATATTCTGCATCGGCGCAGGTACCCCCCTGGTCGAAAACCGGCCCGATTCGGCCTCATCGCGCGTTGTCCAGCTCAGTCCCGCCTACTCCAGCATGCTCCAGTTCAATCGGGCTTACTGCCAGCTCAGTCCAGCGTAATCGGGCTCAGTGGCCACTGCATCGCGCCTAATAGCTTCAAGCCGTTCTGACGAAGGCCTCCGGAGTAGCCTCCGATCTCTGCTATCGCGAAGGCCTTACGGCTGGCGCCGCCGACCCTGAAGGGGTACGGGCCGTCCCCCTTCAGGGTCGGCGGCGGCGACGACAACGGCGGCGGCGGCGACGACGACGACGACGCTGACGTGGGCCAGAGGGATGCTTCGTGGGGTCTCCTCGGAAGGCTCTCGGAGGCCTCTGGGGAGAAGCCCCGGGGCCTCTTGGGAGCCTCTTGGGGGCCTCGCGGCGAAGACCTCCCAGGAGTAGCCTCCTGCCCTTGCTGCTCCCCCCTGCTCGCCCGCCCCGGAGGACGGCGCCCCTTGGAGGGGGGGGGGACGGCCGCGCGCGCTCCCCGCCGACGTGCCCCGCGGCTGGGCTGGCCCTCCCGCTGGCCCGCGGCCTCGCGAGAGGCCCCCTCGCCCCGAACGTGCACGCCGCGGACCGGGTGCCGCTGCGCCGGGCGTCCCCGGCGAAGACGGCGCGCTGCCGAGGGGGTGCGGGCGCGGGGGCGGGGGCGGAGCGGCTGCCAGCTGGAGGGGAAGGTGTGGAGGGTCAGAGGAGGAGGAGGAGGTACCCATACTGCCACCCTTCCTCGGTTTCCCCCCTGTCTGGGCCTCCTCGGAGGCCCTCGTCGCCACCGCTGGAGTCGCCTCGAAGTTCTAGTCAGAACGCATCCCGGGAGAGGTGCGGAGGGTAGCGTTCTCGGTACCTTTAAGTGTCCCCAGTCTGGCGAGTGGTAATGGGGGTGACCCAAATTCGGGGTGAAAAGAAGGGGCCTTAAAGGGGCCCTTTATTGTTCCTTTTGAAGTCAGCTGGTGCCCAAACGGGGTCCTAAAGGGATCCTTTAGGGCCCTTTTCTTCACCCCCGGTTGGGCCACGCCCCATTACCACCCGCCAGACAGAGAGGGGCCTCGGGGAGCAGGTGGGGGCGGGGGCGGACTGGCTGCCTGCTGGAGGGGAGGGTGTGGAGGGGGTGGGGGGAGGAGTCGGCCAGACCCCCTCGCGCCATGATGATCGAGGGGACGCACACATCAGGAAGACAACCATCGGGTTGGGAGGAGGAGGAGGAGGAAGAAGAGGAGGAGGAGCAGGAGCAGGAGCAGGAGCAGGAGCAGGAGCAGGAGCAGGAGCAGGAGCAGGAGCAGGAGCAGGAGGAGGGGGATGGGGAGGTGGAGGGGGGGTGGGGCGGGGCGGCGGGAGGCGGGCGAGCGGGCGGGGGAACGGCTTTATGACAGATGTGGATATCCTCACCCGTAGGCGACCGAAGGTATCGTTCATTGCATCCGGATGCTATTGCTCGTTCCCTTCATCCTCCCAACCACTTCCTCCCAACACGATAGTTGTTCTCCTCAACGCACGGGTTCAGTCGCGTGGATCCGCGACGGGCCCCGTTTCCATGCGCAGGTCGACTTACTCCGTCGCCAACTGAGGCGTCACTCGCTGCATCTTTCGGGGCGTGCTTTCCCCGATCAGTGGATCTGGGGCCTATGCGCCAGACCCATGGATTCGTAGTCCATCTCCGCATGCCCCCAGGGTCGTCAAAAAAATGGCTCGGGAGGTTGGTCCTGGGGAAGAGGCCCAGTGGTCCAGGGGCCAGAGGGTCGGAGAAGCCCAGTCGTCGGAGCGGGCCCTTGTTCTGTGTTCTCGAGAGGGCATCGCAGACACTTTTTGAAGCAGGCCCTGCTTAAACCCAGGCTTGGTCCCCTGAGCGTTTTCACGAGCGGCGTCGTCAGCGCCGGGTCCCCTTGGAAATTGTGGTCAGGGCGGCCGCCTGATGCCCCCATTCCCCTTCCAGTCCCAGATCCATCTATACCCTATCGCTGATTCCTCCCAGACCCCTGAGCGTTTTCACGAGCGGCGTCGTCAGCGCTGGGTCCCCTTGGAAATTGTGGTCAGGGCGCCCGCCTGATGTCCCCATTCCCCTTCCCGTCCCCGATCCATCTATACCCCATCCCTGATTCCCCCCAGACCCCTGAGCGTTTTCACGAGCGGCGTCGTCAGCGCTGTATCCCCTTGGAAATTGTGGGCAGGGCGCCCGCCTGATGCCCCTATCCCCCTTCCCGTCCCCGATCCATCCTCGGCGTCACCCCAACATACTAATAGTTTGTGTGCGTCGCCCTCTCTTGGGCGACTTGCGAACTAAGAAATCTTATAGTATAACATCCTTGGCGAGCGCTTGTGCAACGTTATCCGACAAGATGGTTCTACTACATTTTCGGGTCGGGCGCACGCCTCCAATGAGGACATCTCGTGCTAGTATGCTAGTATGTCCTCGTGCGTCGCACATACCCCTGTCCCTGATTCCTCCGAGACCTCCGTCGTCGTGGTTCGCCCAAGGCTTCGGCACCCCGGGCTTGGGAGGGTTTGCTTCACAGCCTGTGGGACAAGAAAGGGCTGGGATGCGGGGCGAACTGCTGGCGCCAGCGGAGGGGTTGTGCCGCATGTTGCCCGTTGCAGGAAACAGTGGACCAATTCTGGGCGTCAGAGGTCCGGGCTAACATTCAGAGGAGGAAAAGGTACCTCTACCGCTACCTTTCACTTGTTTCCCCTCTTTGGGGCCCCAGGAGATGTCCGGGAGCAGCGGTATCAGTACCTTCCGGTTTCCCCACACATCCGCCGCCAGGTCATTGGCGTGGGCGCGAAGATAATTGCACGCACCTGAGAGGTGCTCTTTTCTGGTTGTGCTGCGCGGGGGGGGGGGGGGAGCGGGGTGAGGAACGGGAGGGCCCAGACCTGCAGCATTGGTGAGCAAGAGCATTGGTGAGCCACTGGGGGCCCTCGCAGGGCCCCAGTGACCCTCAAGAGAACGACTCGGGACGGGGGCCCTGCCCTGGTGGAAAATCCTGCACTTCGGGGGGGAGGGCTTTCGCAAACATCAGGACATCGGATGTGTGAGACTTCGACGAAGAGGGGCATCGAAGACCCATCGGAATCCTGGGGAGAAGCAGTCGCCTTGGTTGGAGTCCCCGCCCCGTGCTGGACCACCCACGAAGCCACCCCAACCCGGCTCGAAGGCGTCAGTTTGCCCTCCATCCCCAGTGTGGGGGGGGGGTACGTCGGGGAGCTTTGAAAAACCTATGTGGAAACCGTCCGTCCCTCCCCCGTCCACAATTTGTGTCTTCGGGTTAGGTTGGGGTGGTCTGGTAGACCGAGAGATCCGATGTCGTGAATTTTTCAATTCGGTGTCCCCGGAAGTCTCGACCCATTCACCAGGACCTGTTTTTTATCCTGCGTCGTTTTTTGACGGTCCCGAGGCCCGGTAAGGGCCGCGAGAGGCCGATAACTGAGAAAAATTTCCCTCGTGCTTGTATCAGTGCGTTGGAGTTCTGGGGATGGTCAATGCTGGCTCGCGGCCCGCTCTCCCCGGCCCCCCGCTCCGTCGGCCGCTTCGTGTCCCTGGCAAGAAGCGCAGGGCCTGGTGGGGAAGATCACCGACTCCGAGCCCAGGTGCAGGTCCGCGGGCGGGCGCTGCGTCTGGGAGGAGGAGGAGGAGGAGGAGGAGGAGGAGGAGGATAGATCGTGTTGTTTGGTGGTGGTGGTGGTGGTGGTGGTGGTGGTGGTGGTGGTGTTGTTGTTGTTGTTGTTGTTGTTGGCAAGAACCTTAGTACTATGTTTAATAATGATAATAAGAATGATGCTGACGATGACGATGCGAATGCCAATAATATCCATCAGCATAAACACAGCAATCATACTGCCTTGAAGTTTCACACTAATACTGAACACAATACTAATGCTGATGATGATGATGATGATGATGATGATGATACTAGTTGTGATGGTGGTGGTGGTCGTGGTAGTGGTGTACTGATGATAATTGTGGTGATGGTGGTGGTGGTAATGGTGGTTGTGGCTGTGATGCTTGTTTTGGTGAAGAGGAAGACGATGACAGCGATGCCGATCACGGTCATTCAATACGGTTACGATGACGATGGTGAGGAGGTGAAAGATCGTGCGGAGGAGGTGGAGATACGATGCAGACGGAAGATGAGGAGGAGTAAACGGAGGAAGAGGAGGAGCAAGAAGCTCCGCACGTTCTTGCGCCCATTTCGTTGCACGTACCGATCTGTTCACACGGTCCTTCTTCAGGCGCCCATTCAGGCAGCCCTCTGGCTTCGCAGATTTCGCCAAACTCTGTGTGTTGCGGCCTTCTTGGGACACCTCGGAAGGTGGGAATGAGGGAAAGGATGGATAGGAAAGTGAACGGAAAAACAGATGCATAGACATCAATCAACTTTCAAGGTCCGCGCGGATTTCTCTGATCTTCGCTGGACCCACCTGGCGGCGCCACCGGCGCCGCCCCTGCCGCCGCGGTCGCGCCATGGAGGGGGGCCCAGTGCCGATCAAACATGATCACGGTCGTGTGATAGCCCTCCCCCCCCTTTCCATAGGGTCTCGCGAAGAGGGCCACACCGAGTAAGTCCATCCGAGAGGATAGTTCAGGGTAGCGCAGGTCACATGGTAAATGTCTGCGTTTGTTTGGCGTCATATCGAATCGAACCGCTTGTCTGGTATCATGTTTCACCGTCCCTCAGTCCTTGCATTGAAGGGGTCCTAGCGGACGTTAGTCGAGTAGGCGAAAAGTCGCTGCGCATTTCGTGAGGGTGCCAGGTTCCCGGATTCTGGTCCCAGGTCTTCGCGCTGGTAATGGCAATTCCCAGGACTCTCTTGCGGCCGTCTTTGAGTCCTCGAAGGGTCTCCTTGGAGGCTTCTCCAGTCCTCCTTGAACCTCCGAAGAGCTTCAGGAGGGTCCTAAGGTCCAGTCCTCGACGCGTCCCATCTTCGCGCTCGTCGTCTTCCTCGCCCTCGTCCTGGTCCTCTTTGTCCTCGCGCTCCCCGTCCTCCTTTCCCTGGCCCTCGTCCTTGCGCCTCTCGCGATCCTCGCCCTCGATCTCGCGCTCTTTCTCGCGCTCCTCGTCGTCCTCCTCCTTGCTCTCGTCCTCGTTCTCATGCTGCCGTCCTCCTCCTCGTCCTCGTCCTCCTCGTCCTGCTTCTCCCCGCCGTCGTCCTCGTCCTCGCGGCCCCCTCGTCCGCCCCCTCCCCCATCGCCTTCGCTCTCGTCCTCATGGTCCTCCTACCTGGATCCTGGGCCCTCTAACCTGGATCCTCAATCCTCGATCCTCGAACACGCACCCTGGATTCCTGGATTCTCGATCTCCGATCCTCGCTCCTCGTCTTTCGACCCTGGTTCTTTTCCACGCCCCCGTCCTCGTCCTCCTCGTCCTCCTCCTTGCCGTGTTCCTTTTCCTCGTGGTCCCCCTCGTCCGCCCCCTCTCTCATCACCTCCGCTCTCGTCCTCAATGTTCTCCTTTTCCTTCCACGCCAGTCGCCTTCGCCCTCGACCTTGTGATCCTCCTCGTCCCCGTCGTCGTCGTCGTCGTCGTCGTCGTCGTCGTCGTCGTCCTTCTCCTAATCCTGTCGCTTTGTTTTTCTGGCTAGCGAGTGCGCGCACATAGGCTCAAGCTCGCGTTGGTGGCGTAGCGGGTGCGGACCGGCGTCGCAGCTCATTTCGAGAACAGCTGCGGGCCGAAAACCTTGGAGCGCACCCCTCCAGCCCCTCCAGCCCAGAATCATTGGCCTGCGTGGTTTGAGCTCAAGGGGTACGCAGACAGAGAGCGGTCAACCTATTAAGCATGCGTCTACTAAGCATCGTATTGCCTATCTGACTAAATCCACTATTATCGCTCATGGCCCGACGAACAACCTTTCAAAACTCACATCGCTAGCGCTACAACCTTAGCCATTGTGAGTCCCTGGTGCGCCACCATCAAAAACTCAGCGTGGGGATGCCAGGAGGTTGTTTTCGGCTTGTGCCCTGCAAAGACTTCGGTGTGGGGTGGATATAGAAATTCATGAAACTGGCAACGGGACATGAAGTTGACCGCCCGCGCCATTTGCCTCCCATGCGCCCCGAATTTTTCAAGGGGACAGGGCGTGTTTACGCTGACTTACCGATTACGAGAGAGTTGTCGACTGGCCAAGAGGCGCGCTGTGACCGCCAGTCAGGACTCCTGGGGTCCTATGTGGCCTCAGAACCGCCCTGGGTCTTGACCCCCGGCCGTCCCTGGGCCGCAGGAGGCCTCCAGAGGCCCTTGGAGGCTCGCAGACATCTTGCCACAGAAAACGAGCAACCGTCGTCGCATCCCCGAGCGTGGTGAGCAAAGCTCGAGTAGGAGCAACAGGACCGAGAGGAGGAGGAGGAGGAGGAGGAGGAGGAGGAGGAGGAGGAGGAGGAGGAGGACGTGGAGGAGGAGGAGGAGGAGGAGGAGGACGTGGAGGAGGAGGAGGAGGAGGAGGAGGAGGAGGAGGAGGAGGAGGAGCAGGAGGAGTAGCGATGCCCCAGCGCGGCGGACGTTTCGGACCGAGCCCCCATCCGCAAGAGGAGGGCGGGCCCGCGCGCGTCCTCCTTTCCTCTTGCTCCCCCCTCCTCCCCCTTCTCTCCTCCCCCCCCCCTCCCCGTGTGGGTCCGCGCCGCTCGCGCCAGCGGCTCCCCGCGCCCGCGGCGGCCGCGCGCACCTGGCATGCTCGCGTGGCTGGCGCCGTGCTGCTGCCAGGAGCAGCCGAGCGGCAGCGGCCAGGTGGTGCTGCCCTCCGCGACGGACGAGGGCGGCAGCGACGCGGTACGGCCCGCCTCGCCGCGGCCCGGACACCGGGCGGCCGGGGGGGGGGAAAAGTCGAGACGGCCAGTTTCTCGCCGTGGCTAGCCTCAGGGGCAATCTTGATTGGAGGAGCAGGAGGGGGAGGAGGAGGAGCAGGAGGAGGAGGAGGAGGAGGAGGAGGTGGAGGGGGACGAGGAGGAGGAGGAGGAGGAGGAGGAGAGGAGGAGGAGGAGGAGGAGGAGGAGGTTGAGGGGGAGGAGGGGGAGGAGGAGGAGGGAGGAGGAGGAGGAGGAGGAGGAGGAGAGGAGCAGGAGGAGGAGGAGGAGAAGCAGGAGGAGGAGGAGGAGGAGGAGGAGGAGGAGGAGATGGAGGACACCGCACCTGGGCCCAGGGTGGGCCTGGCCAGGGCGGGGGAGAAGCTCAGAGCGGGACGCATCGAGACGGCCGTTTTCTCTCGGGGGCGGCCAAGAGGGGGGTGATGACTAGGGGGGGGGATCTCATGGCGGGGGCCACGAGATCTCCCTAGACTTCATGGCGCCTCTGCTTATTTCAATGCATCCCCCGTCCCCCCCCCCCCCCCCTTGGCCGCGCACATGCCGCGGGCCATGATTTGCGCCCCCCCCTCTTGGACGCCCCCCTCTTTGGACGCCCCCGACTTCTCTCGCCGTGGCCGACCTCAGGGGCAACCTTGACAGGGGAAGAGGCTCAGGGCGAGACGCATCGAGCCCCAATCACCTGGTAGCCCACCCGCGCCCAAGGGGCGTGCGGAGTCGCTCCCCGGGCCGTGCCGCCGATCTATGGGCGACGCAGCGCCAACTCCAGTTCGACGTCCCCCCCTATCAAGCTTCCCCCGCATCAGGTTCCGAGATCTCCGACGAGATTATGTTGTTGCCCAGCCTGGGCGTTCCTCGTCTGTTTCGGCATTTGGGGCCCGCAGTGGGGCCCCTAGGATTAAGTCGGGCCTGTCCCTCTACAGGGGGAATCTTCAACAATAGTAAAAAAAATGGTTAGGGGACTATTTTTCTAGTATTTGTGGCATCTTTCGAGTATTCTTTTAATATTTCGGATCTTTCGTCTAAAATCCCCCTGTAGGGGGACAGGCCCGACCTAACCCCAGGCCATCGAACGCCACAATTGGGACGACGAAGCTCCCCTAGGGAAGGTGCTGGGGCCTCTGTGGTCGCACATTGCAGAACTCAGACTGTCGGAGTTCAGTCGGACGGGGCTGGGACGAGGAGAAACTCCATCCCAGGGCGTTTCGGAACGCTCAGAGCGTTCCGGAATACTCTAAGACAGGGCCGCGGCGCCCGAGGCATCTTCCAGAGCCGCCAGACTTCAGAGAAGAAACGTTTGGCGCTCCGCGCGGATTTCTTGGACGGAACCGCGCTGGGCCCCCTTTCCGGCGGCTCCCCTCCCCTGGCGCGCTCCGCGCGCCAGGGAAGGGGGTCCAGCGTAGATTCAAGAAATCCGCGCGGAGCGCCAAAAGTTTATCTTTCTGGCGTTTTTTTCTTCTCTGTCTTCTTCTTCTTCTTCTTCTGCTCTGGAGAGAAAGAATACTCAAAAATAGTCAGGCAATACTCTGGGGCCGATTTTTCAATATTGTTTGTTCATGCTGTTGTGTGTTCTGTTTGGTTTTGATGGTTTTTTCTATAAAACAAAACGGCAACAATTCTAGCTTCCCTCCAAAATCTGCCTGTAGGGGGACATGCCCGACCTCGCAGAGGCCCTCGCGCAGAGCGAGCCCCCAGGATCCGGGCAGAAGGAAGCATTGCATGGAAGCCGCTGCCCCGGGAAGCGTGGGCAGGCAGGAGGTCCCGCCGGGGCTCCTGCCTCGATAGGCAGGCGCTCGGCCTCGCTCGGCCGCGTGCCTTTGTTTCAAACAGTGGCGAAGCGTCCCGGCTCGCCGATAGGCCTACCAAGGAATGTTCTAAGAACCTTTTGTGGTTTCCACGAAATGTTCTTAGAACATTTCTGGCTGGGTCTGTCTTGTTTCAGCACATCCTGTTTATGTTCTAAGAACCGTGCTTTTGTTCTCAGGGCACTCTTGGGTTATAATAACATGTCGTGGCAGGCCTCTAGGAAAGCCGGGACGGTCGGCCCCTGCTCTATTGTTTCCTCGGCGAGGGCCATCGAGGAGCATCTTGCCCAGACCCCCCGGGGTCAGGACAAAAAAAATACGAAGGGGGGGTGTCCGCTCTTTTCTGCCTCTGGGAGCTCTCGCTGGGCCTCGGGAGCATCAGACATCGATTCAGGATGAGGAACCGTTCCTGGGGAATGGGTCGGGACTTCTTGGGGTCGCGTCGTAAGAATATCATGAGGTCGAGGATCTGGGTGGATCAATTTTTTGCGGAAACTAACACGCGCGAAACCGACAAATACAGGAGGGTGTCGGAGCGAGGGCAAGGTCGAGCCTCGGGTGGTGTTTGCGGGTGGCCTTCTCAGGTGGCTGTTGCGCCGCCCTATGTGGCGCAGGGCCTGCCGGCTGGCGGCAGCGAGCTCTTCGGCAGCTCTGGTGGGGCCGCGCGGGGGCGCATCTGTGTAGGCTAGCGGCGCGAAGGAGGGGGTATGGCAGGAGTTCGAGGGTTGTCAGCACTAACAATTCGGGATGAAAATCCAGTCCCGGGGAATTGGTCGAGAACTCTGGGGGTCGACGTTATGTGTGAAAAAATCCTGAGAGTACGGGGCCAGTACAAGGAAAAATCCGTTCCAGAGCGTGCCGGAACGCTCTGAGAGCGTTCAGGAACGCTCTGAGAAGGCCGCGGCGCTGGAGACATCCTCATGAGCTGCCAGACCTCAGAGATTCTCAGTGCACCCTCACGCGATGCTATCCTCGCCTTGGCTTCGTCGTGAGACGCTATGCATGCCAGAAGAAAAACACGCCGCGAGGTCCCAACTGGATCCCCGTACAGCTCCACGCCGCGCGACCTCCCAGGGGCGCGCAAACGCGGCGACGAGCGCGCACTGCGCAGCCCCCCCAGGGAGCCGCGAGGTCCCAGCGGGGTCCCCGCACAACTCCGCGCCGCGCGACCTCCCCGGAGCCCAAGAAAGTGGCGACGGCTGCGCACTGCGCAGCCGCCCAGGGCGCCGTGAGGTCCCATGCCGCCGCACAGCGGAGGCCGACTCTTGCCCGGGGCCGCGCCCTCCGCATGCCGCCGAGGCGGGAGGGCTGGCCTGGGGGGGGTTCTCCGAAGGGCTCAGGCGACCCCTCCTCCTCCTCCTCCTCCTCCTCCTCCTCCTCCTCTTCCTCCTCCATCTCGTCCCCCTCCTCCTCCTCCTCCTCCTCCTCCTCCTCCTTTTCCTCCTCCTCCTCCTCTCCTCCTCCTCCTCCTCTCCCCCCTCCTCGTCCTCCATCTCGTCCCCCTCCTCCTCCTCCTCCTCCTCCTCCTCCTCTTCCTCCTCCTCCTTCCCCTCCTCGCCCTCCCCTCGGGTCGCCTACGGCCCTGGGGGAAACCGTCCAGGTTGGCCTTCCCAGAAGCTCAGAGGAGGAACAGGTATCCATACAGGAGGATCACTCAAGAATGGTGCAACAATAGTCTGGCGGCAATGTTTCTATGATTTATTCAGAATGTGTTCGATTATCTTCGGACTCTCTTGTATTCTTCCTTGTAAATCCGGCTGTAGGAAGACATGCCCGACCTGACGCCATGGTGACAGGTACCCATACCACTACCCTTCTACCCTTCCCTCGTGTTCCCCCTTACTGAGCCTACTGGGAGGCCCTCGTCGGCACCACTGGGTCCGCCTCGAAATCCTGGTCAGAACGCACCCTGGGAGAGGTCCAGGGAGGAGCGGTATCGGTATGTTTGGGTTTCACCAGAAGGCAGGGTGGCTTCTCGGAGCCCCTCGTGCCTGGCAGTAGGCCTTCTCGAAGGCCGCCGAGCCCCTCTCAGAAGCCCCGCGGGCCCCCCCTCTTCCCCCCGGGCCCGCCTCTCCGCGCGCCACGGGGCAGGCGACTTTGTCAGGGTGACGTCCGACGAGCAGGCGCTGAGGCGCGCTTTCGAGTCGTCTCCCAAGCGGTGGGACGACAGCCTGCGGAGCGCAGCGGGCACGCGGCAGAGGGTGCTGGCGGTAGGCGAGGACGGCGCCCTCGTCGGCCTCAGGGAGGAGGCGGCAGGCAGCGGCGAGCCGGTGCGGTACTACCCCGCCGGCTGCCTGAGCGTGGAGGCCCGCCCGCAGGAGCCCCCCCGCCTCGACAAGAGCAGAAGAGCCACAGCACTGCACACATGGCATCGAGGTTCCAGGCCTGCGCTGGTCTTCGGTGGCTTGCCGGCCTCGGGGTCTCCTGCGGCAGCGCTGTGGCTCGCCGAGCGCGATGTCATGGGGAGGCCCGGGTCGCCCCGGGCGGCCGCCGCAGAACCGAGTCGTGGTCCGGGAACTGATCACGGGGCCGCGACAGCTCTTGGACCGGCGCAGTGGCGAAGCGGCCTGGCTCGCCTATAGGCCTACCACAGAATGTTCTAAGAACCTTTTGTGGTTTGCCCGAAATGTTCTTAGAACATTTCTGGCTGGGACGGTCTTGTTTAACACACACACACACATCGGGTTTATGTTATAAGAACCTTGTTTTTGTTATTTGAGCAGTTCGGGTCCTAAGAACATTTTGTGGTAGGCACATGGGAATGCAGGGACGGTCGGTCCCTGCTCGAATCCCTCCCCACTCAGCGGCACCGTGACGGGTACTCACCGACGGGTACTCTAGGAAGTCGCCGAGAGGTACCACTCTAGGGCCTCTTTCTGGCACTGTGGCATTGCCCACATCGGGAAGGCTTGGGTCAGCCGGGTCATTGGCCAGAGTGCCCGTTAGTGGAGTCCCCGTCGGAGGGGCGCTGACCCCACATTGTCAGTGGCCATGCCAGCGCCTCCCCCGGCGCGCTCCACGCGCCGAGGGAGGGGATGTGGCGGTGGTGGCCAGCGCCGGCCCGAGAAGTCTGCGCGGACTTCACAGAGCCCTGCTTATGCAGCTGTTGTTCTTCTGAGTAAGCCCGACGACTCCAGCGCGCGCTGGGGCGAAGCGCGAACGACGGCCCCGACCGACAGCACCAGTGGCGGAGATGCGGCCGACATGGTCGACGACGAGCCGGAGCACCAGGACCTTCCAGGGGACCCGGGCCCCGGCAGCGCCAGGTCACTCACCGAGGAGGAGAAGATTCGGGAGAAGTTGCGCTTGCAGTCGCTCGTAAACGGCTTTGCGAGAAGAGCGGTCAAGGGGTGCCCGTGCATGTATTTGAAGGCGATAGGAGGGGACCCAGAGAAGTACGAGGCGGTCGCTACGCAGTACCGGATTGATAGAAGCCTCGAGAATTTGGTCGTGGTGTTGGCGGGAGACCCAAACCTCGCCGACGTTACCTGCCCGATCGCTGCCATCCAGGACATCTACTCGCTTCGGGAGGACGACGAGGACTGCTTCCCGCGCGCGGTCGTCTCCTCGCTGCAGCCGCAGGACCGCGACTTGTTGCTGATGGTTGTCTTCCAGCGTCAGGACAAGACGCTTAAGTTCTGTATCCTGGAGGAGTCCGCCGAGGCCAGGGACGAGTTCCTGGAGACGCTGCGCATACATGGCGGCGCACACGATTCGGCCAGGGCCGGGGGGGGCGGCCTTCCAGGAAGCAGTCCCGCGTCGTGGCAGGCTTGGGGCACATGGCTTCTCTGAGGCGGGACTCCTTGGAGAAGCCCCCCCTGCCTTCTGAGAGTGCAGCCCCCTCTCGCCCAAGCCCTCTCTTGCGAGCAGCCAAGATACTTTGCATCTACGCGCAGACGTGCCCTGCGGCATGACGGAATTGCCGCACAGCTCACGCGGCCACGCGAGGGGACATCCTCTTCAATGGGAGAGCCCGGTTGCGCCGGCAGGCTAGGGGAACGAACAATGACATAGACATAAAAATTCGGAGGTTCGCGCGGATTTCTCGGATCCGTCCTGGACCCCCCCGGCGGCGCCTCCGGCGCCGCCCCTGGCGCGCGCAGCGCGCCAGGGAGGGGGGGTCCAGCGCGGATCCGAGAAATCCGCGCGGACATCACAGTTTTTGTGTTTATGTCATTGTTCGTTCCCCTACAGGCGCAGACGACGTGCCACGCTTCCCGATGTTCCCGGTGATCCCGCCGGCAGGCGCATACGACGTGTCACGCTTCTCGATTGAGCTGCCCCCAGCATGTGCCTCCACCCGCTCGGCCATCCTCGTCCCCCGTGTGCTCCCTCTCTCTCCTCCTCCTCCTCCTCCTCCTCCTCTCCTCCTCCTCCTCCTCCTCCTCCTCCTCCTCCTCCTCTCCTCCTTCTCCTCCTCCTCCTCCTCTCCTCCTCCTTCTCCTCCTCCTCCTCCCCCCTCCTCCTCCTCCTCCTCTCCTCCCCTCCTCCTCCTCCTCCTCCTCCATTGCTTCCTCTCTGCCCCCCCCCCCGTGCCCGCCCACTTGTCCGGACGGACCGACATATGTCCTGCGCGAGACACAGCCCTGCGCGAGAGACACGTCCACATATAGGGGAACGAACAATGGCATAGACATGAAATCTCGGAGGTCCACGCGGATTTCTCGGATCCGCGCTGGGGCCCACTTGCGGCGCCTCCGGCGCCGCCCCTGGCGCGGCGCCTTGGTATCCTGACTATGAGGGCGTGGAGATGGATATGTCCGTCTGCTGCGTGCAGCCCTGAGATCGAAGAAAACACAACACCATAAACATAAGTGTTTGGCGCTACGCGCAGATCTCCTGCATCCGCGCTGGGCCCCCCATCCGGCGAAGCCTCCGGCGCCGCCCTTGACGCGCTCCGCGCGCCAGGGAGGGCGGGCCCAGCGCAGATCAAGCAGACGGCCAAAAGTTTATGCTTATTGCGTTTGCTCTTCTTCTCCTTCTTCTTGTTCGTCCTCTCTTCTGTAGGACACGGGAGCGATTCCCGGTCCCTCAGGGCGTTCGGAGAGAGCCGGCGGCGTGCAGCCTTGCTCCTCCCCCTCTCCGTCTGCCCCGCCGTGTGCCCTTCTGGCGGTGCAGGCTGGAGCCCGCAGCTGCAGCCAAGCGGATGCGGCCTCGGCCCAGCCTCCGCCGCTACCCTCCAGGCCTCCTAGATGGGGTCGGAGTAGGTGGGGTCGGAGGATCTCGCCGCATCGCCGATGCATCGGCGATGCGGCTCGATGTGGAACCCGATTTGCTTCAATTTGACGTTGGTTATGCATCGCGGACGTTGATTATGCGTCGCTGGTGTATCGCTGGTGCATCGTCGATGCATCGTCGATGTATCGGCGATGCGGCGCGATCCTCCCACCCCATCTGCCCCGACCTCATCCCGGAGGCCTCTATACCCGTCGGTCGTTGAAAGTAGGCATGTTTGGATTGCCAGGTCCCAGTTCATCTATAGCGCCCCCCTCCTTCAAGAATCTATAGCGCCCCCCTCCTTCTATATCTTGGATAGGCGGAACCCACTCTGCTTGATCCGCCTTCCTACTTAATTCAGGAGGGGAAAAACACACAGACACAATTAATCGTCGACTCCCCAGAAAATATTGGAAAATATGGGAAGTGGTGGGGAAGACAAAAACCAGAACATATGGGGAAATGTGGGTCATCTTTTTATTTGTGTGTCTTTACTTGTGTGTCCCAGGGCCACTTCATTCATAATTTTATGTGTTTCTTTCGACCGACGGGTACACTGGCATGAAGGTGGGTCCTCAGGGAAGCGGGCCCTGGACTACGGGGCCTGCCCCAGGGCCAGCTCTTCCTGCGAGCTCAGCGGCCTCCTCCTCCTCCCCCTCCCTCTCCTCCCCCTCCTCCTCCTCCTCCTCCTCCTCCTCCTCCTCCTCCTCCTCCTCCTCCTCCTCCTCCTCCTCCTCCAGGGGCCGCGGGGCCTCCGGGGCCCAGCGGCCGTAGAATCTGTTGGGAGCCCGTCTGTTTCCAGGACCCGCCTCCCTGATGCCCATACTCCGAGATACCCTGCCGGTGTGTGCATGAGGTGGTCCCGAATTCGCCGCGACTGTCGCCGCGACGCCCAAAAGTGTCCCGTACCCGTTGGCAGGCTCATGCGTGTGTGTTATTCGTTCAGTCATAGATCCAGCGAGAGCGACGTTCTTTCACCCCGCTCTTGCTATCTCGCCTCTTTGCTCTGTGAAGCCAAATCTTGATCTTCGCCATTGTCGCCTCTTTCGCTGTCATGGTCGACGTTGCTCCTCCGCGGAGGGGCCGGAGAAGGAGGAGAAGGAGGATGAGGAGGAGGGTGTAGCACAGGATGCACTCATAATCCATATTCGAGTTTTCGTCTCTGAGCTTTCCTGACGGACCTAGGGCACCCCGCTGTCGAGCGCGGGACCGAGTCTTTGCGTTAGCGCCCATAGCCTGTTGCTTCAGCGAGGGAGGAAGACGGTGCAGTGGGGGGATCCTGGACCAGTGCGGGTGCGGTTGGCAAGGAGGGGCGAGCGTGGGGCGCGCTGATTGTGGACTGTCGGTTGCCTGATTTCGAGCTTGCCTGATGGTCGTCGCAGTCCCGGCAGTTGCCGCCGTTTGTGGGTGCTGGCGCTCCAGCCAGGAGAAGAGGGAGGAGAAGAGGGGGGGGGGGGAGGAGGAGGAGGAGGAGGAGGAGGAGGAGGAGGAGGAGGAGGAGGAGGAGGAGGAGGAGGAGTGGAAAAGCAAGAGGAGAGGAAGGAAGATCGGGATCATAGAAACGGGGTGATGAAGATGAATGGGGGCAGCAGCAGGAGGAGAAGGAGGAGGAGGCTGGGAATATGTACTGCGGTTGATGGTAACGCTAACGGCAGCAAGGAAGACTATCATGCAGATGCCAGCAGGGTCGATGGTGAGCAGCATGGTCATGTTGATGACCACGGGTACCCGTATCTTGATTGTGCTGCGGAGGATGGACGAAACGAATCAATGAGACGTATTATTTTTGGATGTGCGCACTTGCGTAGGAACACGCACTGACCACTCATGATGAGATTTCAGGAAGGGGGGCAATGTGGACAAACTGATAAGTGTGATGTGGGGACGACCAGGGGGGGAAGGGGTTGAGGAAGAGAAAGGCGGGTGGAACGTGAGCGAGAAGCGAGGAGCGATAAAGCAAGACGGAAGAGGTAGAAGCGAAGGGTGGGGGAGGCGAATGAGTAGGAGTGGAGGAGGTGTGAGGGTGGAGCAGGGAGAAGGGAGGAGCGCCACGAGGCAGGTTGAGTTGAACAAAAGTTTGAGATATGAAGGATGGAGGAGGGATCAGAAGGCATAGTGAGGGTTGTAGAGGAAGGAAGGCTGGTATATGAAGTGAGTGGGAGAAGGTAAGAGGGAGGAGGGGAGGGAGGAGGAGGTGGAGGAGGGAAAGGAGGAGGCGGATGAGGAGGAGGAGGATGAGGGCAAAGGAAGAGACGGCCTGGGCACGAGGAGGAGACGGAGGAGGGGGGGGGACGGGATGTTTGGATGGAGGGGGGGTGAAAGGGGGACAGGATGGGCCGTGGCAGGAGCGATAGGAGAGGCGTGAGGAGAGAAGAGGGGAGGAGGGAGGAGGGATCGGGGTGATGGAGGTCGTGGGGCCGGGAGGCAGGAGAAAAGGAATGATGGGGGGGAAGGGTGGGGGTGGAGGAGGCAGGAGACCGGATGGTGAGCCTAGAGTGGTGGAGGAGGAGTGGGAGGGACCAGTCTCCTCCTCCTCCTCATCCTCCTCATCAACATCCTCCTCCTCGTCCTCCTCCTCCTCCTCCTTCTCCTCCTCCTCTTGTTCCTCCTCCTCCTTCCCCCCTCCTTCTTCTCCTCATCCTCCTCCTCCTCCTTGTTCTCCTCCTCCTCATCATCCTTCTCTCTTCCTCCTCCTCCTCCTCCTCCTCCTCCTGCTTCCCCTTGTTCTCCTCCTCCTCCTTCTCCTCCTCATCCTTCTCTCTTCCTCCTCCTCCTCCTCCTCCTCCTCCTCCTCCTCCTCCTCCTCCTCCTCGGTGCCGGGCGGTGCCCCTCGTGGGACGGGAACCGCCCTCCGCCCAGGCGCCGAGAAACATGGCGTTGTGAGGTGTTCGTCGTGTCTTGCCCCCCGAGGCCTCGGAGCCATCAGAACAAGTTGCTTGGTTCGGCGGGCGACGGATGACTCTAGACGGCGAGACGGGCCCCTCTCGAACCCGGGGCAGGGAGGAGGGAGGCCAGTGGATAAGATGGATAACGAGGGAGGGGTCTGGCGGGGAGGGAGGAGAGGGATCTCTGATGGCAGGCGGATGAAGAATAGGAGGTTTGAGGATGGAGCGGGAACGGAACCGAGGAAATAGAGGGTGTGAGGGAGGAGGGAAAGAGGGAGGGAGGAAACACAGTAAGAGGAAGTAGAGAGGAGCCCTGACGGTGCCACAACAGCTTGCGGACGCCACAGCTTCGTGCGTGAGCACCACAGTGGCCGGCGATCACCGCAGCGTGCCTCAGAGCACCGCAGCGTGTTCGTGTCCTCAACCACGGCGACGGCACAGCACCACGTGTGAGTCTTGCAAGCGCCACCAGGGCCAACAGGCACCACGGCATGCCTGCGAGCACCAGCAGTGGGCGCAGCCTGCAAGAGCCGCAGCGTGCACGGGAGCGCGGCAGGCGTGCGGGCGACCACCACGCGGCGAGGAGCGCCAGACCTCGCCCGCACCGCAGCGGCGCGTGAGCGCCGCACGATCGCACGGCAGCGTGCGGAGCAGCACGCGCGCTGGAGAGGTCCACAATGTCCTCGCAGACGGTCCCCAGGCGGCACGGGCAGCCAGGTCTTGCCAGTGCCGCAGTCGCCTGCGAGCGCCTCGTGCGTGAGGAAGACGCTGGACCCAGACAGGACCTGCACAGCCCTTTGATGCTCACAGTACGCTCGCGAAGGCCAGACATGCCCGTGTGAGCACCACAACCGGCTGCGAGGGCCACAACGTGAACGAGGGCCAAAACATGTGTTGGCGACCATCGCCTGGCGGGGAAAGCCGGATCTTGCCGATACCACTGCGAGCAACAGTCGTTCGCACACGAGCATGCGGGGCCCCGCTTATACCACAAGAGTCTACCAGCGCCACATGTATGCAGCAGAGTATGCTGCAGAGTATGCTGCACCCAGCCAGTACGCGGGGTACCTTACCTCCCCGTTTGTCCCGAAGGTCCTAGCTAATCCCCGGCCATTCCCAGACGGCGCTGGAGCGATTCGTGACGTTACCAGAGGGGCGGTCTCTGGTAATGGGCGGTAGGGCGGCCTGGTCAAAAACAAGATGTCACCACTCATCATATCTCTCTTCCCCTGCAGGCACCCCAGAGTGTGCAATCGCTCAGCGCTGCGGCCGTGCCATCAGGAGGACAGTGCCAATGGTGTCGCGCTAGCTCGCTTGCTTTCTCGTGCCGTTCTTCCTATTCTGCTTTCTGCTGGCGCTCTCTCGATTTGCAAGATGGCCCCCCGACCGAGGTCCCCGAGGCCCGACCTCACCGGGAAGATCACCACCAGATGAGACGCTGGCACCATCTGTGGCCCGGATCCGGCCGCGGCGCATTTTCTTTTGCCGTCCGTTGGTCCTTTCGAGTGTTGATGGGGAGGGCGAGGATCGAGGATGCTCTGGAGGTTCTGGAGGCTTCTTCTGGAGGCTCTGTTGGGCGTCAGGGTTTGTGTTGCCCCTGGAGGACTCCGAGGGCTTCTGGAGGCCCCCCGGAAACGTTTCTCAAAGGGACCTCGCTGGGTAATTCCAGGGAGCTCCTCATTCGACCTCGGAGACAAGAAGGCGCATGCTCTTTACAGATGTTGGCCTCGAGCCCAGGGGCTGGCAGTTAACGATCTAGGAGATTGGGCTGATCAGAGAGATCCGGAGGAACCCATCTTGAAACACATGTTTTACCACCATGGGTTCGAGACGAGAATCGATGGACGGACGACGAAGAGCGACCTGATGGAATTCGACCGCTTACGCGATCTCACGTAGCATAAGATTCGGAACACAAGAATTTGTGGATGGGAGTTTGTTAGATGATGCTTCTCTCTCAGGGATATCTGCATGTTTTCGTAGATAGTGGCTGCAGCCAGTTGCAACGATGTCGGGGGCGAGATGAGCGTGGGCCCAAGGGGGGCACGGAGAAGGGCTGGGCCTTCTCAGAAGGCTCGGGAGTCCTCCAGCCTTCTGAGAGGGTTTCTAAGCCTTCCCCGAGAACACAGAACACATCTCAGAAGGACGGAGCGCTTCTGTGAAGCTCCGCCACCTTCTGAGAAGGACTGCTCCTTCTCACTTCCTCCCCTCGCTCGCCGCCGAAGCGAGCTAGGGGCGGTGGGTTGCAGACCAGCCTGCGTGCAAGCGGGGAGAGCCGCTTACACGATGTGCCAGAGCAGGAGGAGGGTGGGCATAAGGAGGCGGAGAGAGGCGGGAGAAGTTGAGAGGATGAGGGAGGAGGAGGAGGAGGAGAATGAGGAGGAGAAGGAGGAGGAGGAGGAGGAGATGGCGGAGGAGATGGCGGAGGAGGAGGCGGAGGAGGAGGAGGAGGTAGGCACGAGGAACCGGGTGGAGGAGAAAGTGGTCTGCACAGGGAAGGGCGGCCCGCGGCGGCGCCGCCGGCCCGCACTGGCCCGCGGCGGCCTGCGCGCACGAGCAGCCGCCGCAGGCCGCGGCCGCCGCGGGCAGCGCCGCGAGCGGCTCTGCCGGCCCGGAGGCCACCGCGTGGCGGAGAGGCGCCGCGTGGCGGCACACGGCGGAGCCGCGGACCCAGAGATCCAACGCACTGGAAGGATTACTCGGGCGAGGAGAACTATGCACATGCACCGATCCTGGCAAGGCCCATCCTTGACCCAGGGTCGGTGCGTGTGGCATTCTTTGCCAAGGTAGGAGGGCGTATGCACCGATCCTGGGCTCAGCATGGGCCTGGCCAGAATCGGTGTATGTGCATAGTTCTTTTTCCTCGAATTTCGACAGAGTTTTTTTTCTGGTTTCATGCCAATATATATATATATATATATATGATACATACATATCGTATATATATATATATATATATATATATATGTGTGTGTGTATACAACTATATATATACACGGATACTACTGTCGGCTTCCAGGGGCCCCTTCCCAGGCCTCGGGGCCGTCAAGGAAGGACGCGGGGCGAAGAAGCGCTCCTGGGAAGTGGTCGGCCGCGCGCAGAGCGGGGGGGGTGGGAGGGGGGAGGGCTTCTCAGAAGCACCCCTGCTCCTTGGAAGGTGGGGGCTTTATCTATAGATGTAAGGCCGGCGCCTTCCAAGAGGCGGCCTCCTTCCAGGAAGCCCTTCCCCCTCCCTCAAAACCGCCTTCGTTCGGAGGCCCTTAAAAACGGGGTGGTGGCCACACCGTGTGGTGAGTCGGTGGGGGCTCGGGGTCACCGCACGGTTTTGGGACTCGAGTCCCTCTCTGGGGATGTCTTGGGAGTCAGGGGCCTCCAGGGTCCCAAGACCCTGCGGCGACGGACCGTGCGGTGAGGTCTCTTGGGGTTCCGAGGCCACCGCACGGTCTGTCACCACACGGGTTTGGGACCCCCTATTTGTGCGCACCGCCAGAGTTGGGGAGACCAAAAGGTACCGAAACCGCTTCCCCCCCGGACCTCTCCCCGGGCGCCTTCTGACCAGGACTTCGAGGCGAATCCAGCGGTGGCGACGAGGGCCGCCCAGGAAACCCAAAAAGGGCAAAACGAGGCAAGGGTAGAGGCATGGCTACCTTGTCCCGCTCCGAAAAGTGGGTCGAGACTTCCGGGGGCCCCGTCTTGAAGACATCGCGGCGTCGGATCTCCGGGGGGCCGGGCCGACCGTCCTGGCGCGAGGCTCTCTCCCGTGAGGGCGGCGCGCCTCGCCGGCGCGGGCGGCTGGGCCGGGGCGGCGGGGGCCGTGGTGCAGGCCTCCCAGGTGGGGTCGGACCGTAGATGGACAAACAAGTGGAACCCTTTGACCCCCCCCCCCCCTCCCCCTCCAACTTCAAAGTTGGCTTCAAGCATTTGGCAGCACAGGCGTGAGAGGACAAAAAGAGTGGAGCCCAGAGGGCCTCCGAGAGGCCGAACCCGACTTTGAAATTGGGGGGAGGGGGGGGGGGGGCGAAGGTGGGGCCGACGACGAAGGGGTTCCACTTTTTTGTCCCCTTACCGGAGCAGATGGGGTCGGAGGACCCAGAGATCGAACGTATTGAACAAAGCACGACGGGTTTTTTTCTGTCGATTTTTCGGCCTTGAGGGGCCCTTACCGGGCCTCGGGACCCTCAAAAACGACCCCGGATGAAAAACCGGTCCTGGGGAAGGGGTCGAGACTTCCGGGGACCCCGTAGCGAAAAAAACACGACGTCGGTTCTTTGGGTGTGGAGCCCGATTTGCTTCACATTGACTCTGCCGATGCATCGCCCACGTCGACGATGCACCGCCGGTGCATCGTCGATTGCATCGCCAATGTCAAGCAGTGGCGAAGCGTCTTGGCTCGCCTATAGCCCCACCAAACAAAGTTCTAAGAACCTTTTGCGTGTTCCCACGGAATGTTCTTAGAACGTTTCTGGCGGAGTCTGTCTTGTTTTATCACATCGGGCTCATGTTCTAAGAACATTGTTCTTCGAACATTTTTGGGTTCTATGAACATTTCGTGGTATGACCATAGGAATGCCGGGACGGTCAGTCCCTGCTCAACCATGCACCGCCGGATGCATCGGCGATGCGGCGCGATCGTTCGACCACATCTACGAGGCCCCTATCCAGCAGGCCTCCATGTGGGCGGGGAATTCGGCACGGCCACCGCCCGATCGAAGCGGGGCGGGGCGAGGATCGAAACAGGGAAAACGGCATAAATCAGCCACGCGCAGAGGGGGGTGGGGGGAGGGGGGTAAGGTTGATAAAACCGTGTGTGTACCACCTCCGTTTTGGGCTTTTTACTTCTTTTGTACTTGTTTTTTCTTGTTGATTCTTGTTTGTTGATACTTGATTTACTTCTTGTGTAGCAGATTACAAATTGGTTCCTTTTGTGGCACGATACAAACTGGTTCTTTCTGTTGCGAATTACAAAGGGAATCCTTTTGTTGTGATTTGCAAATTGTTCCCTGTTGTGGCGGATTGCACATTGATTCTTTTTGTGGAAGATTGAAAAGGGATTCCTTTTGTGGAGGATTACACATAGATTCCCGTGTGTGACAAGCCCAGCTGGTAGTGACCCAGGTCCCATAAGGAAAAAAGTTTAAAACCAGTGATAATTGTAGAAATTATACGACTCTCAATCGTTTTGAAGGTTTGGTGCCAATCATATTTAAAGAACAAAACATGTTCCTTTTCCTGGGAGCCCAAACAATATAAGACACAGTTTGTTTTTCGACTCAGGTATCCAAAATGATGTGTTTTGATATGGTGTGGGCTCCTAGGGGGTTGGAAATGCTGTGTTGAAATATATTTTTGGCACCAAACCTTCAAAACGATTGAGAGTCGCATAATTCCGCTAATTTCCAATGGTTTCATTTTTTTTTCCTTTTGGGACCTGGGTCACTACCAGCTGGGCTTGCTACAGAAGGAATCAACTTATCATTCGCCACAAAAAAATATATTTGAAATCCTACACAATAGGAATCTCTTTGTAAACAACCGCAAAAGGAATCTCATTGCAATCCTCCGCGAAAGAAATCCATTTGTAATTCGCCACAGAAGGAATCAATGTGTAATCCGCTACAAAAATAATCAATGTGTAATCCTCCACAAAAGAAAACCATTTGTAATCCGCCACACAAGGAATCCATTTGCAACCCACTACAAAAGGAATCCCTTTCGAATCCACCACAGAAGGAATCCATTTGTAACCCGCCACAGAAGGAATCCATTTGAAATCGATTACAAAAGAAATTCGTTTATACGGAACCGAAATCGAACAATTTGGATATTTTGAAAAGTGGAGCATTGCTAACGCATACCGCTGCTCACGACAGCTTTTTGAGACTACGAAAAAGGGGGAAACCCTGTGCATTTGTTGCAAACATTTGGGCGGGCCGGAGCATGCAAATATGAGCTTCCGGATCGTTTAGAGCAGGACATCATTTTTGCATATGTAAGTTTCAATGCTACGTTTCGCACTTTTCAAGGGTATGTGTTTCCTAAAAATCTGGGGGGGGGGGAGATTTGGGGGTGTTCTTGGGGTGCTTTACGGGTGCTTTGCGGGTGCCTTGGCAATGATATCTTTGGGCCGCACGTGTAGCATTTTTCGAGAAGATGTTTTTCTTTCAAATTGGTGTGGGCGATTTGCGAGTGCCTTTCGGGTGCCCTTCGGGTGCGTTACGGGTGCTTGGCGGGTGTCTTAGCAATGATATCCTTGGACCGATTGAAGCCAAGTTGTTTTCATAGAAGCAAATGCCAATAGCACGTGTAGCAGTTTTCAAGAAGCTGGTTGTCTTGCAAACTGGTGTGGGCGATTTGCGAGTGCCTTTCGGGTGCCTTCGGTTGCCTTACGGGTGCTTTGCGGATGCCTTGGCGATGACATCTTTGGGTCCTTTGGGCAAAGCGTTGTATTTGTGCATAGAAACCCCGATGCGCCACACATGTACGGTACAACCTCGCTGGAGGCCTTCTTGGTCCAGCTGAAATCATTTTTCAGGAATGTGTTTCACCAGACGCTGCGCAATGCATCGATCGTGTGCAAAATTGCCACGGTGAGCAAAATCTTTGGCGCCTACGCGCGCACTGCATTCCCTGGCATGAACATGCGGGAGCATGAGGCCTTGCTTTCGTTCTGTCAGAACCTACTTGCCTGCGACGGAGATGTCAAACCAAAGCTTCGCATGAAGATGAAAGCTAGCCCCCGCGTCATCGAAACTGAATTGCCGCCGAGCGCAAAGCGCTTGCGCAAGCACTGAGCATGCGTTCGAATGAGAAACATGTTGGATGACACGGTCGCGTGTGCAAAAACTGGTCCGTTTCTCATATCGCCACCATCGCAACCACGTCATCACCGTTGCCATATCAATGACTTCGATGTACGGATCGTTGTTCATCAACTACCAAATCGGTGGGATGTTGAGAGTCTGAAAGCGATTCCATGACATCGTACCATTTGATACCATGAAAACACACATTACACACGCGGCTGTATCAACTCCACGGGTAGAAAGGGAGGGTTTCTTAGAAGCACCCTTCCTTCTTAGAAGCCGCGGGCATTCCCTATAGATGTAAGGCTGGCGCCTTCAAAGAAACAGCCTCCTTCTAAGAAGCCCTCCCCCCTCCCTCCACCCCCTTTGTGCGCGCCGCCAAATAAACGTGATTTTTTGCAGTTCCGCGCGGTTTTCTCGGATCCGCGCCGTTGCCCCGGCTTCGCCAGGGGCGCCGCTCCCGGCGCGGACCGTCGAAAGTTTCTGCTTGTGTCGTGGTCTGCTTCCAGAGGGGGCGAATCGAAGGACGGGGAGAGGGCCGGGGGAGGAAGAGCAGGAGGCTCAGGATGAGGAGGACGGAGGACAGGAACCGACGGGTCGGGCGGGAGGTCCGAAGGAAGAGCGGAGGCAACAGTTGGAGGGAGGAAGGGGGTCGGAGGAGGAGGAGAGGGAGGTGGAGGACAAAGGGGATGACGAGCAGGAGGAGTTGGAGGAGGCATATAACGAGGAGCCATCCGTGGGGCGCACCCGGGAGGCGTGCTCCGACGACGCGGTTCGCCCAGGTATGCTCGGCCCCTGGTGCTCAGGGCACGCCAATGCCTCGTCCGTTTTTGGCGCTTGGCCGCCAAGGCTGAATGTAACGCTGAACCATCACAGGCTGGTCTTGCCTGCACTTGTTTTGCCGGAGCCGCCTTTTCTCTTTCCAATCAGAAGAAGCAGCAACAGCATAAGCGTAAGCTGACGGTGCTCCGCGCGCATTTCTCGGAGTGGCGTTGGGCAGCCTTCCGTGACGCCTCCAGCGCCGCCCCTGGCGCGCTTTGAGCGCGCCCTGGCGTGGGGGTCTCCTGCGCCGATCCGAGAGATCCGCGCGAAGCATGGGGAGCTCCCCAATCCACGCTTGCACGGAAGGGGTACTGGCGGAAGTTGGAAGATTTGGCGAAAGTTTTCCGCCGATTCTGGTTCCCTGGTTCCCGGGTTCGGGTTCCGTGTTCCGGGTTCGGTTGGTTCTGCGTTCCCGGGCTCCCGGAACGAAAACCGTCCACTGATTGTTTTTTTTTTCTGGTGTACTTTATGCTTATGCCGCTGGTTGTCTCTATTCTCTGCAGCGGCACTGTATTAGCAGTGGGCGGCGACGTGGAGAGGCCCGCGCCCGACCTGAGGCATGGCTGCGCTCGCGGAGGTCAGGTGCTCGCGCGGTTCCCTGTGTTTCGCCCCTCTTTCCCCGTTTCGTCCTTTCCCGCCGCTGCTCCCCCCGGATATCGAGAATCGAGCTATCCAGCAAAGTCGCTGCTACGAATACGACACCAGCTTCCTCGCGCAAGGCTGAAGACACTTCACCAGATCTTGAGACTGACGAACCTGGAACGCCCGTCTCGCACACACTGCGGCGGAGATGCATGGAACGCATGCTACACGCATCATGTTCCTGAGGGGCGGCAGCATGGAGAGATGGAGGGAAAGGGGAGCAGGGTGAGCGAGGGAGTGGCGCCTGGTACACGAACAACTGCGAGTTGCACGTGCAGCACTTGGCATGGTGCAAATCCTGGCACCACGTTACTCTGGAGTCGGGCATGTCCTCCTACAGGCGGAACACTCGAACATAGTCAAAACATAGTCAGCGGATGTGTTTTTACGATGTTCATTTTTCCACATTTTTTATTATTTGTCCTCCCATGCTTGCGCGTCCTTGCGCGCACATGCCGGAAGCATCATTGTCAAACCAGTGAGTGTCTAAGGATCTCGAGAACGTTGCGTCAATCACATATGAGAATCCCGTGTTCTTCAAACCCAACGTGCCAGGGTCTTTGCGCGCGCATGTCACCGCTCATTCTCATCCGCACGATCGTCGTCACCGTCGCCAGCGCCAGCATCCTCATCATGAACGTCATTGCAGTCATGTTCCTCACCATCACCGTCGTCGTCGTGCTGACAGCCGTCGTCATGGTCATCGTCTGCGTCATTGTCCTCGTCGTCATCGGCAGCACAAATCACCGTTGTCGTCGTCGCCGATGTCGCCATCACCGTTACAGCTCGCCGTCGTCATCGTTACAGCTCGCCCGCCCGAGCCGTTGATCTGCACCATGAGGGTCCTGGCGTCACTGCGCCACTTCAGTGTTGCCAAACACTCCTCCCTCCTTCTCCATCCTTCTCCCCCTCCTCCTCCTCCTCCTCCTCCTCCTCCTCCTCCTCCTCGTCCTTCTCCTCCTCCTCCTCCTCCTCCTCCTCCTCCTCCTCCTCCTGGTAACCTTGGCAGGCCGCTCATCTTTCCTATGCGGGCTGACTACACCTGCACACGCGGCCGCGCGGCCGCTCCAGTGCACGAAGGCACTCCACCCGTATGTGTGCTCGGCCGGCCCAAGAACGTTGCCTGTGCATTGGTGGGACGTCATATAGGTATTGCGTTCCTCATGAATTACACCACGTAGCTTCCATCACACAGACTGCAGCGCATAAATTCCACCACACAGGTTGTACAGCGTGGCTTTGTACCGCAGAGTTCGCACCAGGCAGCTTGCACCACACAGATGCACCACTTCGCTTAAACCTCCTAGATCCCACCACATGTCTTACATCACTCAGTATGTGCCACAGAGTTTACATCACACAGCTAGCATTACATAGCTCAACTCGCATTTATTGCACTTCATGGCTGCCATCACCTAGCTCCTAGCTTGCACCGCATAGTTTCCCACTCATAGCTTACACCACTTAACTCAAACTCGTAGCTTGCACTACACAACATGCGCCACACATCTTACATCACATTAGTTTGTCACATATATGTTATGTCGCATCGCTTGCACTGTATCGCCCGCTCCTCATACACGACACCGCACAGCTTGCTACACTCAGACGCCGCTCGTTGAAAGTAGGTTTATTGGGATTCCCAGATCCCAATCTACTTCAAGCGCCTCCCTACTTCAAGAATCGGCACGCTTTTGATATGTTCGGTTATTCTCTGGGGGGGCCTGGACCCAATCAACTTAATCCGCCTTCCTACTTCATGTTTTTACCTAATTCTTCCGACCGACGTGTAGTTGTTGACCAGCCTGCACCACACAACTCGCACCACGCAGCCTGCGCTGCGCAGCTTGCCACAACGAGCTCGAGCACACATCCAGAGTGCACATGTTACTGTCCTGAGTCCACCCTGGCAAAGGTGCTCGCAACGGGGCTCCCCGAGGTCTCGGCCCTTTCTCCGAGCCCTGCCCCTTTCCTCGCGAGCGGTCTTCGGCGGTCCCCGGGCCCCCAGCAGGCGCTCCCGGTGCAGGACACATCCAACACCACTCCGCCGTGGCTCGTCTCCAGCTGCGCGAGGGAGTCCCCCCGCCTCCCCTTCCTCCCTTCTTCCCCCTCACTGTCCCCGCCGCCGTGTTCCGACCGGCGGCCGAGCGCCCGTCTGGCCTTTTTTCCCGCGCGCACGGGCGCCTGCCCCTGCGCACTTCGGCAGGGGCGGCCACAGGCCTGGACACCCGGCGCCCTGACACCACTCGGGCGGGGATTGCCCTGAGGCACAACTCGGGCAGGGGTGACCTGCACGGGGGGTTGAAGGGAAGGGCCCCACATGGGGCCCTTGGGAGCCCCGAGTGGGCACCTATCGGTTCCCACAGGGGCCGCCCGAAGGGCCCCTTGAGGGCCCTGTCCGTTACCCCCCCCCCACTTCTTCAGGCCCCCCCCCGCATGGCCACCCGCCCGAGACGCAGCGGACTGGCGCGGCGGGCTCGTCGCCTCTCGCCGGCCTCCCCGGGCCCCGGTGCCATCGAGAAGCGCTTCGGGACGAGAGCCCTGCCCCGTAGGGAAGAGGTCTATGGAGGTCCAGGGGCCGGCTCCCTGGAGCGGGCCCGGGCGCCGGGTGTCTTGGAGCACGGCCTCGGCCGCCCCGCGTACTGCGGGCGGAGCGGAGCGCAGGTCGTGGGCCGACCTTTGACAGTGAGCCCGCGAGTCGCGCCTTCGAGGGATTCTCCCCGTCCTCCGGCGGCTACAATCTGTGCGGTTACGCGGGGGTGCGGTTTGCGAGTTGCGTTGTGGCGGCCTTTCCGGGGGCCTTTGTGAGAGGCAGCGTCGTAGCTGTCGTCGTTTGGAGCGGCGCTGTCGTCCTCGATGTGTGCTCCACTGTACTAGAAGGAGCAACAGTATCATGTGATTCGGTCGCATTGAGTGACAGTGCATCCGTTTCCCGGGGGCGGGAGGGGCAGATATGACGGGAGGCAAACCGCACCCTTCGCAAACCGCACCCATTGTAGTCGCCGAGTCCTGACCGCAGCTGCACACGCCTGTGGCTCGCACACGGCGCTGGCTCGTCGTGCCCGCGCTCACCGTCTTGCTCGGCCCGGAAGGGACCGGGGGCTGAGCAGGAGGCCTCCGTGTTCCAGAGCGCGCTGGCGCTCCCAGAGCGTGCCGGAACGCTCCGAGGATCCGACGAAGGCGTCTATACACCACCACCGTGCCAGGCCAGGGCCATCCTGGGCCCTAGGATAGTGTATAGACCCTCCTGGCCTCGGCCAGGAGGGCGTATACACCGTGCAAGGGCCAGAATGACCCTGGCGTGGCACGGTGGTGGTGTATAGATGCCTCCTGTGTAGAGGAGGCCGCGGCGCCCGAGACATCCTCCAGGGCCGCCGGATCCCAGAGATGCTCGATGCCTCCTCGCCCGATGTGCGGTCCTCGTCGGGGGGGCGCGCGGGGAGGAAGGGCGCTCCGTGGCCGGGCGGTGCTCTGCTGCGGGGTCGCGCCACGCCCCGCAGCGGGCCCCGAGGGTCGAGCGTCGGGGAGGAAGCAAGGGCGCCCTGGAGGGCGCGAACTTATTCGCGCTGCTCGGTTCGGCTCCGACTCCTCCTCTTCCTCTTCCCCCCTGGGAGGCGGCGCGAGAGAGCGCGAAGGTATTCGCACTTCGCGCTCCGCGCAGCGCGGAGCGCGTCGTTGGGTGCCCTTGAGGCAGGGCGGCGCCCCGCCCGGAGGGGAAGCGGGAGGGGGCGGGGATCGTCAAGAGGCTCGGGAGACCCTTGGCCTTCCAGGGAAGACGTTGCGGGCTTTCCCAGGCCTCGGGGAGGTCCCAGGGGGGGCGCGTCGTCCCGAGGCAGGGTGGTGGAGCGAGCCCACCCGGACGCTCGCGCTGCCTGCTTCCAGGTGCCGAGGGGAGCAATATTCCTCTAACCCCACCTGTGCCCCAATGCTTGCGTCGGGCGTGTCCTTCTACAGGGGGAACATTAAAAAAATAGTGCAGACATAGTCTGGGGACTTCGACTATGTTTGATCATTTGTGGGCATTTTCTGCCTATTTTTCAATTGTTCGTCCAAAATCCGCCTGTAGGGGGACACGCCCGACTTAACTCGAGCCCCAGCTGTGCCCTGTACCCACCTCTGCGCCCCCCCCCGACCGAGCACTCCTCGGAAGGCGCAGGGGGCTCGAGGAGCACCGCCGCCTTCTGAGAAGGCCTCCCCGTTCTCACTGCCCCCCCCGTCGCTCGCCGCCGAGAAGGTGGGTTCGAGGTTCGGAGCGGTTT